GATTGACTCCACAGGCCAGGGCCTGGCGGGATTCCCGAGCGGACGCCGAGTTGGCGCGGGAGAGTCGCGCGTGGAGAATCCACGTGGAGACGACGGGCCTGAGCCGGAGGCAGGATGCCGCAATGCCCCAAACATGCCTCGCGGGGCTTAGGTTAAGCATGCCCTCCATGTCTGCAAGGCTTCCAAAAGGCCTTGGGGTGGGTTGGGGTGGGTTGGGGTGGAGCTGCGCGCCGAGCCGCGCTGTGCTGACCGCCGCGCCGCGCCCGGCCTGGCTGCGGCTCATCCGTGATCTCTCCGAAGTGTTCGCAAGCTGCTTCCAGCGATGCCGCTGTGCCTACAGGGCGCCCTTTCTCCTCCTCTGTAACAGTATGTGCGGATCGCTTGTGTAGGGGCTTTGAAGGCCTTCGACCTCCCTGAGTTTTGCATGATGCCTGCAGCAACGCAATTCTACGCCGCTGCCTCTGCCCCCAATCCCCTGCAGGGCACAGACCTGGAAGCCGTAGCACCACAGGGTCAGATCTCGCAAATCATCCAGCACTTTGCTGATTAAACTCCGACCGCACATGCGCGCTCTGTAGGCATATCTGCTCGGGATACCGGGATACCCTTCTGATGTTCAGAAAAAAGGTATTGAGAAGAGGGCTGAGATCCAACCAAAGCTCCCCGCCTTGCTCGGTTTTTCAGCCCGCCGGGCTGCACGGGTATGGGTACCGATCGCAGGAAGTCGCCGAGGCTCCGTGCGACCGTGTATCGCTCCTTGTTTGGGTGCTGCGCTGGGCATGCTTGGATTCACTTCCTGGAAGTGCTTGTTGGCTCTTCGCATCCATCGCGAGTGTCAGAAGGCCAGTGACGCAAGGCCTGGTCGCTCCGGCGGTGTCGCCAATGCCCAGGAAAGTGGCTTCTTGTTTTGGCTTCTTGCTGAGGGCCCATGCTACGATGGGCACTCCTAGACTCCCCAGACTCTCTAGGCTTAAAGCTCAGGCGAATTTCTCCGTGCTCAGACGGCTGCTGTCATGGTGCAGCGCACTCTAGCATTGCGCAGATGCCGGAACCCGAAACAGCGTTCGTTTTGCTGCTCGATTGTGCCATGTGCCCTGACTTTGGCTGCTAGTAGTTCGAGTGGATGCTGGCTAAGCGCCGAGGATTCCGAAGCTGTGCCTCGTCCCACCCACGCAGCCTTGTTTTGGGCGACCCAAAACGTGGGCTCATGTGGACTGGTAACGGCCAGCGTGCTCGGGCGCAGGGTTGGCTTCTTTGGGGCCCTGCTGCCGCGAAACACGCGGTGTGCTTGGCCTCCTGGATCACGTATCTCACGTCCTGGTCGGTTGCAAATGCACTACATCCACTCAACTCGAGTCTCTGGCACTTGGAAGGCATCGATGCTTTCCATGCCAGGCGTCTTTCAACTCCAGATCATTCTCGGCGAGCTGTTGCTCTCTCAACGCCCAAAGTCCGAAGCTCAGCGACCGTTCCCTTCAGGCATCTCTGCAAGGCCGCAGAGAACGAAATCCTTGCGAGTTCGCATCTGCCCAACTGTCCGTTGCGCGCTTCGGCTGCAATGGCAGGGAGCCTGTGCATGGGAGTGTGCCGATGCGAAGGGTGAGTTGGGTGCCCAACTCATGGGTGGATTGGCGTCACTTTGCGCCCTTTCTCTGCTCACCTTGCTGTCTCTGCTCTCTTCTCCTCTTTGAAACAAACAAGGACTGAAGCGAAGACTGCAATAAGAGCATTAAGACGTTGTCGCCCCGCTGGAATGCTCCTTGAGCGGAAAGGCCTGTGTTGGCCGTGCCACCTGTTGCGCGTTGGCGCAGCTGTCTGCCAGGCTCCTTGCCCAGTGCCGGCCTGTATGTGGACGATGGCTCGCTTGAGTGGTCCGATCCAAATTCTTCTCTTTGCCGAGCTATCCATCTGCCATATCTGCCGCCAGTCCCAAGTGCAAGGTCGTGTGCTCCACACACACATACCAACTGATCCGATCTGAGACACCCAGCCTACACCGGGATACACAGTTGAACATGCATTAGTACAGCGTAAGCCTCACTGGGTCTGCACGCTTCACAGTATCTCGGGACAGACATGGGTCAGTACCTCCTGTGGCTACATAAATAGCCATTCCGGGTGCAGTTGAATGCCCGAGCTGGCGACAGTTTCCCAATCTCCAGGCCAATCACAGCCCCAGCGTCTTTGGTGGACTCCGCGCTGGTATTCCAGGCGTCTCAGCAGCGGCCTAGAACAGCTCCCGTTTGCTCTTGGCCGCGGCCCCGGACCACTGGAGGAGCCCCTATTCAACGGCATGGCAGGGTGGTTGCGATCAGATCGCGAGCCCCTGTCCACATGAGGCTCCGCGCAGGATCCAACTCACGCGCATCCCACAGGAGCCCTTCAGCGCTTTGCATTCTCTGCCGCCTGTGCCTGCACACCTTTGGTGGCACATCTGCGAACTGCACGCGCGGCCACCAGATCCTGGAGATATGTCAAGTTGAGATCCGGTTTCGCGCGCCCTGATCTGAGAGAGAAAGTGCCTAACTTGCGCTGGGAGAGGCCAGTGGCAATTATGTAGCATCAGCAGGCCGTTATGCATGTTATGCAGCACAAACCTCACCGGGTCTGAGAGCTTCGAAATTTGTGGAACCAGTGTGGCTTGAATCTGAGGCCTGCCGAACTGTGCCAAGCACGCTTGCACAACTGCATCAGACTTGTACACGCAAGCCGGCGACCGTTTCGGCAATGTCCCGTAACGTGCCCGTAGGCACATCCCCAGCCTCTGTGGAGGACTCCCCGCTCACATTCCATGCTCCGCCGGAAGTTGCATCTGCCAGGAGGTTGAGGTCCGGTCGCGGTGGTACTACATTTCACTACATGACATCTCAGCGTTGCACTTGCTGCCATTGCTGCTCGGGACCACTCCCAGTTCCACGGGTCCTGTTGCCCTTGAGCGTTGATTATGGCTGCGTGCTGCGGGTCCCAGTGCCCAGAACATTGTGGGCGTGTGTCTGCCAAAGGCATGCGGTCATACCCGTTCGATGTGGAGCTGCAAGCCGAGCCGCTGTGAGGCGAAGAGCAAGAAGGCCAAAGTGACACTGGGGCGGTGGGCCATCGCTGCCATAGCTGCCGTAGCTGCCATGCCCGGAGCCAGGTGCAAGAGGCAGACAGGATCCGTACGCTGCCGGGAGGTGCAGGAGTCCATATCTTGTTGCCCAGCAACATGCGTCGCGAGTGGGGCACTGCTCGGGTTGAATGTACCGGCATGTGGCATTCTCACTTGCTAGGGCTGGTGGGATCACGGAGGGCAGTGCTTGCCGGCATCCGCGGACCACGGGGGCCGTTGCACAGGAACTCTGTCGTGCAATCCCGCCGAAGGCTACCAGCACAGGAAGCCTAGCACTGCAAAGATGGCCCCACGCACCTCCGCTCTTTTTGGCGCAGTTGCTTTCACGGCCACTTGCGAGTTGCATGTCCCGATCCCCCAATCTGACTGAAGAAAGGTCCTGCCCATGCTTCAACAGAGCCCACTCAGCTTGCCAACCCAAGCATTGGCCAAGCAAGTGTCCAGTGACACATGAGCCACGGCGCTTGCCACAAAAACCCTTGTCGAAACGAAGCCGCGCCTCTTAGCTTGTCACGCAAAGCCGTGTGTCAAAGCAAGGTAGCTTGCCCTGACAGGCTTTGCCCTGACAGGCTTTGCCATGCCAGGCTTTGCCCAAGCAAGTGTCCTGGTGCCACATGCGCCGCTGCGCTTGCCACGCAACGCCTTGACGAGAAGTTGCGCCAGGAAAGGCGAAACTGATCCAGTGCACTGCTCCCTCACCAGGCATCGTTGCTCGCTAAAGTAGCAAAGCGGCATGGCCCCGTGATTTGCTGAGGGCGACGATGCTCATCGCATTTCAAAATCATCGGCTTGCCTATCCAAGCACCGCCCTTGTTCGTTCCTTCCTCCCATCAGCCACAGGACCAGGCAGCAGGCGTAGAGGTTCGCACGGGCCCGGGCTTGCCTGTTACAAGACGTATCCTCGGACCTCGGTTGCTTTGATGTTGCTGGTGTTCCCCTCTGATGCATATTCCAGTGGCTTGGATGCTTCGCTCACTCGGGCAGCAAAGCTGACCAGGTACAAAGCGCAACAATGACCGTCAGCAGGCCGCCACAAAGCACAGATTCGCAAAGCTTCCTAGTGACCGAGTTCCGCTGTCGAATCGGACGGAACACTCTTTGAACCGTCCGACTTTGTGACATGGAAAGGGGATGTGACAATGAGAGAGGCAGCGTGGATTGCAGCATGACATAGCCGTGTGAAGACGCAGTTGCAGAAAACGCAATCGTCCGAAGAGAGGGTGGGCCCTTTGTTTTTCTGCCCGCAATTTGTGCTGCGGACTCGAGTTGCCATTTCAGACGGGCGCTGTTTCAGAAGGGCGCTGTGCAGGCCGAAAACAAAGACGCAACGGATGTTTCTGGTTTCTATTGGCTGTGCTGAAGATTGTGCGCCTACTGGGAAGGGCCCAGCAGAGCCTGCAAACGGAGCCGCATGAGCCTTATGGGCTGCACGGGCTGCACGGGCTGCATGCAAGTTCATGTCTTCTTTCTTGCTTGATGAGCTTCACGTTCAGCTTGGGCAGTCTGCTTCAAGAAGCCACACGTGTTACAAACGGCCAGTTGTGCAGGAGCGCTCAGGTTGAACGTACTTCCGCCTCGCAGCAAGGGGGGCAGAAGCCTTCGAGTCCTGTGCCGTGTTCCACCTCTTCTGGCCCCCTCATTCTCAGCTGGAAGCCTGGGTTCTAGACCAGATCTGATGCTCTGCCCAATCCGCCACCAATCTTTTCAGATCGACTCTGAGGGTGGAGGCTGTTTTTGTTTGTGGGGGTGTCGTGCTCCATCAATGTGTAGTGTGGCGACATGTACGCCCCAACCAGGCGGCTAAGGTTTGTGTCATGTCCTTTCACCCTCAGAAGTAGGTGCGGTGGTTTGGCGCCATCCTCAGAAGTAGGAGTGCTAGCAACATCTGTGGATGCCCTCAGGGCCAAGATCAGCAAGCCACTTTCAGGATCCTGGAGGCATCTGTGGACCAATGCGCGGCGACTGTTGCCCAGCATTGGAGGTAGCCAAGCCCGCGCGGGCATCCAAGTACTGCAGGGTAAAGAGCCGGTCCCAGGCAAAATGCCGGAAGCAAGCGTTGCTCGCCGGTGTCCGTGCGTGCAGGGCCAGCCCGCGTGCACTCAAGTCCGGCGCCCTTCACTCCTTGCAAGACGATGGCGAGCTGTTCAGAGGTCCAGGCGGCCTCATGCTTGCCATGCCAGGCGTTGCCCAAGTGTCCAGGCGCAAACATGACCGCGCGCGCCATGCTCACTTCCTTTCGCCGGAAAGAAGCTGCGCCTGGAAAAGCCAAAGTTGGATTGCTTCGCTGGCCAAGTCAGGTTGGTTCGCGGCTTGGAGCTTTGGCAGTCTCTCCTTTACGAAAAGTTCGGGATAGGCAACGTTGAGCGACATGCCGATGTGGACCCCGAGGCAGGCCGCTGGAACGAGCCGCTTTAGGAAGTGATCACCGAGCCGACTCGCCGTCCGTATGCAAGTCAGGCATAATCATGGACAAGTTCCTTCAGATACTGAGACACAGTGTCGCACTGCGTGAAAAGCTACGAAGCTAAGTCGCGTTGTTCTTTGCGAGCCAAAAGCTGAAGCATGCGGCGCTGGAGCGCGTGCAGTCTGATGTTTGGGAAAAGGAAGGCACGAAAGCGGATTGTCGCTGAAGTCCGCCGTCGCACCATATCCACATGCTGCGGGGCCCGGCGCCGCCAAGCGGCTGTGTTGCAACAGGCTGTGCCCGTGGTCCCCACAGCCGGACAGGAGTAAAGCAAGGCAAGCATCTCTCACGCAGGGCCTGCACTGGACTAACTGCAACTTTCCTGCAGTTTAGGAGTCCAAGCGTGCACCATCACTCCATACACGGAGCCTCTCACCCCCTCACTCCCCCTCATCCCGGACATATTGCCCAGGTTAAGAGCCTCTTGAATCCCGAGGAGTCAAGAATCGCCGACAGACGAACGACTGAGCACTAGAGCTCATCTGCGGTATTCTGCCCTGCAAGCGCTTTTCAGGCCTGACCCCTACCAGGATTTAGCCGGACCTGGCTGCTTGCTAAGTCTGTGCATGCGACCTCGACGAGTTGCACGGCGCCGCTGCCGACGAAGGCGACGCAGACTCGGAGTATCAGACAGAACGCAACCACGTCCCCAGCCCACATTTGACTCGTTTTGATCTCCTTTGTGGAGTTCACTGCAGGGCCTGTGGACATCCTACATCCTGGGCCATGTCGACATCTGGTATGTCGAGGAAAGGCCTTGGAGACAAGACCAAAGTGTCTTCAGCATCGAATGCCAGCGACGCCGATGTCAAAAAAGGCCCACCTGAAGCCAAGAAGAGGGCAAAGGAAATTAATCACACATGGCCCAGTTTGTCATTCGTAATTGGAGGTGTGGAGAGGTTTGAGCTTCCAATTTGGGAGATTCTGACGTCCATGCCTTGACCAGCATGCTACAGAATAGCTCACCCCGCCCAACACGAAATCCAACCCTTTGAATTCTTCATTCGGGGTGCCTCAAACAAGAATCCTGGGGAACATTTGACGCTCGGGCAAGCAAGCCCAACGAGGTGATGCATGGAGTCCTGATTTCCTGAATATCAGGAAACATGTGCTGCGATGATTTCTGCGTATTTTCGCGAAGTTTTTCTTTGTTTCTCCCGAAGAAGGTCATGTCGCGCTGAAGGCAATGTCGATCAACCCTAAACCCTAACCACTAACCCTAAACCCTAAACCCTAAACCCATGTGCTTAGGGCATTTCTCGGATGAGGGTCGACGATTCAACCTTTTCCTGAGCTTCAAGGATCTCGGAGCCCCTGTGAAGCTTGCTCGATTGGAGCGCTGCTGGCTTCCCGAGGACCCTAAACCCTAAACCCTAAACCCTAAACCCTAAACCCTAAACCCTAAACCCTAAACCCGAAACCCGTTCAACCTGCGGTCGTCAGGAGGCATTGCAGGGTAACAGGAAGCACGACTTGCCCTGTCAGCCCTCTACGCCCTGATCCAACCAACAAGCCTCAATCGTTGGAACCCTGAACCCTGAACCCTGAACCCTGAACCCTGAACCCTAAACCCTAAACCCTAAACCCTAAACCCTAAACCCTAAACCCTAAACCCAAAGCCTAGTCCCCAAGCCCTACCGCGAGGGTTTTTTTGTTTTGGCCTGTCGGTGGCGCATCCATGGCAGCAGGGCCGCCAAAGGCCAGGGGCAAGCCGTGAGTTGCGAAGCTCCGGGTAGGGTTTAGGGTTTAGGGTTGAGGGTTGAGGGTTGAGGGTTGAGGGTTGAGGGTTGAGGGTTGAGGGTTTTAGGGGGTTCAGAGCGTAAGAGGGTTTGGGTGTTAGGGGGTTCAGCATGTCGGGTTCAGGGTTTAGGGGTTCCGAGGTTCCGTGAGCCGGTCTGTTATTGTTTTTTCTCCAGGCTTTTTCGAGGGGTTGGGGTTTTGGGAGCATCTGAGCTGCCAGGGGCCGGCGTTTGGTTTTGGGGCGGTTGGTCCATTGGGGTTTTCGGATGTGATATTAAACCCTAAACCCTAAACCCTAAACCCTAAACCATCAACCTGTGGGGTTTTGGGGTTTTCGGGTTTGAGGTCTTAGAGTTGAGGGCTCGGGGGTTATTCGCCCGAGTCAAATGGGTCTGAAGGCAGCTTCTTGTTAGGGTCTCACCATCTTCATGAACTCTTTGCGGCGCGTTATGGGTACCCTTTGTTGTAAGGCGTGTATGAGAATGGGAACCCAAAACAGGGCGAGTTTCGGGAACCTTGCTCAGACAGCCCTTCAGGGCCCTACAGGGGTTTAGGGTTTAGGGTTTAGGGTTTAGGGTTTAGGGTTTAGGGTTAGGGTTCACTTAGACCTAAGCTCATCTCAGCTACACCTGCGCCGTAGTTATGTCAGGCAGCTGGTCGTTGAACCTCTGAAAGATGGGGTTTAGGATTTGGGGCTGCTGTGCAGCAAGACTCCCGAAACCCTCAACCCTAAGCCCTAGACCAAACCCTAAAGCCTAAACCCTCAACCTTAAACCTTAGACCTAAACCCTAAGCCCTAAACCCTAAACCTCAAACCCTAAACCGTAAACCCTAAACCCTAAACCCGAAATCCCAAGCCCTAAATCATAAACCCCAAACCCGCAGAGCAGTCTTGATCAGCGCTCGTCGGTCCGACCTGGCTCGTGCAATCGCCGAAGCTGCACTTCAGAAGAAGCTTCCTGATGTCCACTGGTTTAGGTTTCAGTGCTTCAGGGTTTGGGGTCTAAACCCCCCAACTTCAAAGCCCTGAACTCATGAGCCGCGAAATGAGTCAAACTGGACAGAAACCCAAACCCTAAACCCCTAACCCTAAACCCTAAACCAAGACCCGAACCCTAAACCCAAAACCCAAAACCCTAAACCCTAAACCCTAAAACCCTAAACCCTACACCCCACGCAGCAGCTACTTTTTGGGAATGTTTCGGAGGGAGGGTTCCGTGCTTGGGTGACTACAAAACTCTGTGATAGTAAAACGAAAAGGGTTTTAGGGTTTTAGGGTTTAGGGTCTAGGGATAATAGAACCCGGCATAAGGAGGCCTCCGATTTCGAACCACCCCCAATGATGAGTGATGGCGGTGTAGAGCTTGGCTCATCCCAGAGGCCCGCAATGTGCGGTGGGGTGGGAATCGAGCTTGCACCCCCCAAAGCCAACAATGCCGAAAGCCCGGGACCCTAAGCCCTAATTTAGGGTTTTGGGTGTAGGGTTTAGGGTCGCCAGCGCCGACATCAGCTGTAGGAAGACTGCCCAGGGGTTGAGGGGATTCGGCCAGCTTTGCCGACTGTAGTCCATATGCGGCAGCGCACCGCATTTGTTTACATTAGTCTGCTTTATTTTTCAGATACATACAAAGTTGCTCCAGGTACTGTAGGGGTCCATGAAGAGTGAAAGTCTGCAGTGGCGACTCCCTCGTCTTAGTGGTACTTCTGGGGAAGTGGTGGAGTGAGCGTTGTCCGTGAGGGGTCTCATGGGGATGATGATCGGGATCCGCTAAGTCTTTTTGGTTGTGAGAAGGGGCGAGTCATGATCCTGAGCTGATCCTCAGTTGGGTCTTTTCCTTGCCAGTTTGCATCCCTTGAAATGAGGACGCAAAACCCTAAACCCTAAACCCTAAACCCTAAACCCTAAATCCCTGTTCTCATGAGAGCTTCGATTCCAGGACAGTTCAGCTCCTGACGCCCGAGTCCGAAGAGAATGCAGGCCAGGTCTGACGTGTGTTTAGGCTTGATGGGCTTTGGGAGCCGTTCATGGGTGGCTGGAACCCTAAGGATCCAGTGTGCAGAATAGCACCCAGGACCTACAGGCCCCCCCTCCCCCCCGGCGTAGACCCAGGATCACCCGCTTCGGCGGCTGCTGCGGGCCCATGCCTAGGGGTTTGAGGGGTAAAGAAGCCCCAGGCACTTTGCCTGGAACTAACGTAAACTAACCCAAACCTGAAACCCAACCTCGCATCATCCACAGGCACAGCCACGTGCCGCTTCTGCCTGCGACAGGCCGTACCAGGATTTTGAGGTGATCCCAAAACCGAGATATGTACAACCATGGGACCCTAAACCGTAAACCCTAAACCCTAAACCCTAAACCCTAAACCCTAAACCCTAAGCCCTAAGCCCTAAGCCCCAAGCCCTGTTTTAGAACGGCCCTCAAGCGTCCACTCCACACCCCCCCTTTCCCCGACCCCTTTGCCCACCACGACCCCCAACCTCCCCACCCCACCGACCGACGTCTAGAACCCCTCACCGGGTCCTTCAAAACCTAGAGCCCGCAATCACGACGCTTATGAACCAAAGGAGCACAACTGAAGCCCTTACCAAAACCCCAAACCCTGAACTACACCAAAGCCCGAAACCTGAAACCCAGCCGCCCTCTGCAAAAACCCTCCATCAAGGGCTTGGGGTTAATTCTGAAGGGTGTAGGGTCCCAAGCTTCCGAAACCCAAAGCCCCAAAAGCCCAGAAGCCCGAGCATCCAAAAACCCCCGCAGCCCGCAGTCCCAACACCCTGAGGCCAAAACACTTCGCAATCCTCAAAACTCGAATGCCCAAAGCAAAACCCCCAAAAGCCCGAAAACCCCTGGACCTCGGAAACCCCCGAAACCCTACATCCTAAATCTCAAACCCTAAACCCTAAACCCTAAACCCCAAAACCCCAAATGCCCCAAACCCTCGACGTCTTCTCCTTCCTTTCCAGCGCGGCCTCTGCCTGGCACTGGGGGCCTTGCTGGCCGCAGATGTGGGCGCCTCGCTGGTTCTTTTTGCCGCAGGGCGCAAGGAGGCCTTGACTGAGGTTTAGGGTTTAGGGTTTAGGGTTTAGGGTTGAGGGTTGAGGGTTTAGGGTTAGAGTTGAGGGTTGAGGGTTTACGGTTCAGGGTCAAACCCCAAGCTCCTTTGGGTTGTTGTAGTTGCGCGGAAACAAAGGGCGGAGGGGGGCGGGGCCTGAGGTTGTGTATTTGGGGGTTTATGAAAATCAGCACAAGAGTACATGGTAGGTTTCAGGCCCAATTTAGGGTTAGGGTTTAAGTTTTGGGGTGTAGGAGTTATGAGGGTTGAGGCCCACTTCTATTGATTATGCATCTCTCTTGCCCTAGAGCAGAATCGGCCCCAAGTCTTGTGTTATGTTTTCCTGCTACAATGTACCTTAGAATATTATGCCATACCATAAGATACTGCAACAAGAGCTACTAGAAGGTGTTCTAGAATATACTTGAGTATACTAGTGTATCTTATCGCGGGAGGTGATGCTGCTCTGCATCCTCCGCGGCGTGCTTCTGGCCGTTGGCTTCGCTCTCGCCGTGAAGATGGGCCTAGGCGAGGCACCAAGAGCCCAGTAAGCGGAAAAATGACGGCTGTTGGATGATTTGGGTTTGCAGGTAGGGTTTAGGGTTTAGGGTTTAGGGTTTAGGGTTTAGGGTTTAGGGTTTAGGGTTTAGGGTTTAGGGTTTAGGGTGTAGGGTGTAGGGTTTTGGGTGTAGGGTTTAGGGTTTAGGGGTTTAGGGTCTCTGGGGACAGAGAAGGGACAGTAGGGAGCACCAGCTTGTGATCCTAAACCCCTAAGCCTGATAAGGCCCCAACACCTAGAGCCTAAACCCCGAATGATGTGTGACGCGACCTCCCGCTAGGTGGGCGACGATTTTCGGGGTTCGGGGTTTAAGGTCGAAGGTTTACTACACCCTAAACCTGAAACTCTAAACTAAACCCCAAAACCTGAAACCAAACCCTAAACCCTAAACCCTAAACCCTAAACCCTAAACCCTAAACCCTAAACCCTAAACCCTAAACCCTAAACCCTAAACCCTAAACCCTAAACCCTTTTTGCCTTTTTGGGCTTATAAGGCTTCGGGAAGTCGGAGCCTCCTCACAAAAACTCTCGCAGCCCCAGAGCCTTCAGCCCAAAGTGCCGAAGCTGGTTTAGGGTTTAGGGTTTAGGGTTTAGGGTTTAGGGTGGGAGGCGTCTGGAGCTGCGCCTGCTGCGACGCGCAGCCCGCCAGGGCGCGCGGGGAGTGCTTGCGGTTCACTCCAATTAAGACTCTGAGACGACAAAAGGCCTAAGCCTAAGCTCTAAGCCCCAGACTCTTAAACCCTCACCCTTGAACTCCAGGGTTTGGGGTCTAGGGTTTTGGGTTTAGGGTGTAGGGTTTAGGGTTTAGGGTTTAGGGGGCCCTTACTGCTGGCACATCTCCCCGTCGCTCTCCCAAAGCCAAGGGTTCCACCACCGAAACGACCGTTTGGTGCGGTGGTTGAGGGCATGCAAAGACCCCGATGATTTCTCCTTAAACCCTAAACCTTAAACCCTAACCCTAAACCCTAAACCCTAAACCCTAAACCCTAAACCCTAAACCCTAAACCCTAAACCCTAAACCCTAAACCCTAAACCCTCCACCCTAAACCCTAAAACCTAAACCCCACATCGGGAGTCCGGCCAGGATCAGCAGCTCCCCAACAACGAAGCCGCCGTGTCCGTGTCCGGAAGCTTCACTAGCGCTTCGCAGATGACGGAGGGTCCCCCACCTTAGGACCTAAACCCTAAACCCTAAACCCTAAACCCTAAGCCCTAAACCCTAAACCCTCAACCCTAAATCCCAAACTCTGACATCCGAAGCCCTGCACTGTGAACCCTAAACCCTGCCCTATTCTGCCAAAGCCTAAGCCCGAAAAGCATCGCAAGGATTCTATACGGCCCTTCCTCGGGCTGGCAGCACACTTGATAACATCACCCTCAGGGCGCTCACAGGGTCGAAGACCAAGACCCCAGGCATGGTGTAAGATCGTCTATTCAAGTGCCGTCTGTTATCGTATGCTCTGTTTCTAGTGTGTTTTGGGATGCCTTTTTTTTGTGCAGTAGTACATGGCAGGGATTTTCCCACCCGAACTGCTGGGATTCCGACTGCTCAGGTGCAGTCCAAAACCTTGCAGAACTGGAGCGCCAGCGTGCTGCTGTCGCCACACGGGAGGCCCTGTGCAGGGTTGCCGGGTAGTTGGAGATCTTGCTTCCATTTCACGATGGCGAAACCCAACCTCTTTGACATCAAAACCCGGGCCGTCTTACGGCAACCCCCGAATATCCAGCCCAAAACCCTAAACCCCAAGCCCTAAACCCTAAACCCTGAACCCTAAGCCCTCAACCCACCAGAAAGGCTCACAGCTGGAAGCGAAACGTGGCCGCGACCTGAGGAATTGAGACTATTCTCGCTTGCGGGTCCCTGTTATGGTGCCGTGTCCTTGCATTTCGGCCTTCAGCCCTGTACCTTAAACCTCCAACCCTAAACCTCCCTAACCTCCCCTCCCTCCCAAACTCTGTGTGCTCTTGGGCTTCTGAATGCTGGTCTGTTTAGAGAGGGGAGTCTAGGCGCAGGGTGCTGGGCTCATGGGCTTATTTTGGGTTGGGGTCGTCGGTGTAAGTAGGGTATGGGGTCTAGCTTTCAGGGTTTAGGGTTAAGGGTTTAGGGTTTAGGGGGGATGGTTCTGGGGAGGTGCTAAGCAAGAACAAGCCAGAAGGGTTCTGTGCGAAACAGGGCTTGACAAAGCCTGGTTTTCTTGGGAACTAGGATGCTCAAGCCCCGCCTCCCAGCCCCCAAAACCCTAAACCCTAAACCCTAAACCCTAATCCCTAACCCTAAACCCTAAACCCTAAACCCTAAACCCTAGACCCTAAACCCTAAACCCTAAACCCTAAACCCTAAACCCTAAACCCCCAAACGCCAGACCAGGCTGCCCATACAAGTGGCTGGGGAAGAAACGGTACCCTCCACCCCCTGACGTCCCAAGCCCTTCTCAGGTTCTGGCCATCTGCTTCGTAGGCCGGTCCAGGGGTTCAGGGCTTAGGGCTTAGGGCTTAGGGCTTAGGGTTTAGGGTTTAGGGTTTAGCGGCTAGGGTTCAGGGCTTAGGGTTTAGGGTTTAGGTCTTAGGGGTAAGGGTTTAGGGTTTAGGGTTTTTGGCGGGTTGTTGAGCGCTTGAAGACGTGCGATCTTTGGTCGACGGCGGCTGTAGGATTCCGGGCTTAGGGTCAGTCGGGATGCATCGAGACTTTCTGGGGCATGTCGCCCGAAGCAGCATTTGCAGCTCAAGCAATCTCGAGCTCCGCATGTCCGCGGCCCTCGCGATGCCAAGCATGTTTAGTTTGGTGGTGGAGAAGGAGACTTGGTCTGTGCAGCCATTCTTCACAATGTGCGGGAAGCTCTGGACACTCGTCCTGCTGGCCATTGCCATGTTGTGCTGGACTGTATGGCCCTCTTTGTCCGAAGTGACTACTTGGGGCCGCGGGGATGTCTTGCAGTGCCTTTTCGCAGCCTTGAAATGACCACGAACTGCCCGCAAGAGGACGACTGGGTAGCGCATCTGGCACATGACACCCGCCCGGTGGATGCCAACGGAGGGCCACGATCCCCTGGTGCTGGCCGGCGCCGCCAAGGCGTTGAAGACTTTGCGGCTGCTGTTCTTCGAGGTACACCAGGACCTGACCGGTTCACCCTGGAGCCGAACCTCGCTCCTCTCAGTCGCTGAGGGCTTGGAGGACTATGACCTGGACTGTTCTGGGCAGGGAACGATCACGGGCTGCTGGACCATGCAGGATGAGAGCACCCACAGCCCGATCCCATGGGCGAACATCCTGTGCGTCAGGAGGGGTGATGAGTGGCATGGAGCTTTGCAGAAGCACGTAGGAGCAATCGCCTAGGGCCCTGGCCACCCCGAGCTTGCACCGAAAATGCGCTGTAATTAAGGACGCTGTCCGGACAGAGGCAGTGTTGCATGCGATGGCAAACGAGTCGCAGGCTTCGGGGCCTGTTTTTCGGCTTATAGAGCCGGGTGTTTGCGATCTTGGGAGCTCTGGGGAGTGTGCCGGATCGAGACACTCGGAGTGCTCTCCCAATCCTCCTTGAAGAGCATTGTCATTGTCGAAGGGATGGGCTTGAGCACCATCATGATCACTGCCTTCCCTAAACCCTAAACCCTAAACCCTAAACCCTAAACCCTAAACCCTAAACCCTAAACCCTAAACCCTAAACCCTAAACCCTAAACCCTAAACCGCGTGAAAGCCATTGCAGTGCATGAGCCGGCGGACGGACCGCACCCCAGCAAGAGCCAGATGCTTGGGCCAGATGTTTGGAGCCTTAAACCCCCAGCTAGGCCTCCCTTGAATATGCGGGCAGAGGCTCGCATAGGAACAGGATGCTGTTTGTTGTCTAGTGTTGCTTCAGGTTTGGGGGTTTAGGGTTGCAGCTGGGGGATCCGGGTACCCTAAGTCCCCAAGTGTAAGGCTCCATGGCTTTTCGGAGCCTCTGCGGACATGAAGCCGCTGAATTCCAGGTATCACCGTGCAGTCCGTCTATGCCGGCATTCAGGCCATGCTCCAAAAGGGACCCTAAATTTTGTGAACTTCGAACTCCCAACTCTCTCTCTCTCTGCTCTCTCTCTCTCTCTCTCTCTGTCTCTCTCTCTCTTTCTCTCCCTCTCCCTCTCCCTCCCTCACCCTCTTCTCGTCTCATGCACGTCATACTTGATTTCTCTCTCTCTCTCTCTCTCTCTGCTCTCTCTCTCTCTCTCACCCTGAACGGGGGGTAATTGACGCCCAAGGTAACCCCAAGCCAGCCCTAAACCCGGAATCCGCAACCCCAAATCCTAAACCCCCCTGACTGTCGAGCCTTGGACTTCACGAAGGCAAGGGCCCATACTTTCGACACCAAAGCCCGCGATGCAGAGATCAAATCTGGATCCAGTTACCATAGGTGACCTCTTGATATGAGGGTTTACGAAAATGGTTCCCGTTGAGGTGCTCACCTGGGCGGACGAGACTCCCACCGACGCGTTCTGCTTCACGCTCGTGGTGGCGTGCATGAACGCGGCTGCTTGGCCCTGCAGTCAGCCCGAACTCCCTAAGGTGTGCAGCAGGATTTTCGGCCTGGGGTTCCTTCCAGTTTTCCTATCATTCACGCCCAATTGTAGCACCGATGTGATAATCTGCACTTTGTACTTGCACCTTAATTGACAAGCCACACCGATCGTGCACAACCAAGTTTCCGGACCTATCACTTGCCATTTGCCAGTTCGGACTTTTCATCCACGCCCAGCTCGACAATCCTGACCTAACATTCGCACCCCAGTAGAAGCTGACAATCCAGTCCCATCATCATTTGCACCCAAGCTGACAACCCAGGCTGTGCTCATCAAAAAGGTGTAGGGTGGTCCTTGAGTTTCAGGGTGCTCAGGGTTCGGGGTGTCGGGTATAGGTTGCAGCACGCAGTTTCGAGCATGGTGTCGCACAGTACCACTCTTGGCGAAGAAAGCGGATTGGTACCCCTGCACCCTGAACCTGATACCCTGCACCCTGGACCTTAAATCCTAAACCCTAAGCCTCAAAACCCTAAGCCCTAAACAGGGTTTCAGGTTCGGAGCGTCGCCCCGTCTGAGGAGTTTTTTCTTGTGAAGCTGCTCGTGGAGCGACTGACCGAAGAGGACGACGCCCCGTCAGAAGTGTGGGATCCATGATCCCCAAACCGGCCCAAACCCTAAGGCCTAAATCCTGGTCCCTCTAAACCCTGAATTCCTCTGAGTTCCCGGAACCCAACATCCCAAGAAACCTTCAAGTATATCCTGAACCCTCCACTCCGAAGCCAAGTCGCATCCTGGAGCACCTGAGCAGTACCCCAAGTCCTAGTACCCCACACACAGATTCCCTCCAACAGTCCTCAAAGCCTAAACTCCTACATCCTTGAGACCCAAACCCATAACAACAAAGCACAAAGCTTTAAACGCCAAAGCCTCAAAGCCCCCTAAAGTCTCCCACAACGACACGAAGCGCAGAAAGGTTTCGAGCCGGCCCGTCCCGCGGCAAACTCCTGAAACCCCGCCTCCCCCTCGAAACCTCTATGCTTATCCTCCCAGGTGGGCCCTAAAACCTCATCCCCGCTGCAACCCTCAGGTTAACCACCCTGTCGGCTTTCGGGTTTGGGGGCGCAGGAGGGCGTTCTCCTACCAGGCGTTCACGAGCACAGGCTGGGGAGTTGCGCTCGAGGTAGAAATAATCCTCTCCCCCAAATCTGAACAGATCCTTATTCTACATGTCTTTGTATGTATGTATATACACAGGTCCTACAAGGCTTCGAGTTTAGGGCTTTGGGCCGTGTTGCTTCACCGGGCTAGGGGCTGCGCTTCAGTATGGGGTTGCAGGACTGGCTGGGAGGTTGAGCCTCGGTGTTCGGCGTTCTTCGGTTTCAGGGCTGAGTGTTTCAATATGCCTTCATCCATCACCTTGTCCTCCGTCAGTCACTTGTCCGTCCTCCTTGCTGCTTCTGCCTCTCCCTGTGCGTTCTCTCTCCGCCTCTTCGTCTCCGTGATGATGTGAAGGAGGATGTGTGCCCGGCAGGGCTCGGAGCTGACATAGGAGCGCAAAACCCAAACCCGAAACCCTCAAAATGCGAGACTCCCCTCGGAATCGGAACTCTGCAAAGCGATCGCAGGGGTGCTGCGAACTGAGCCTGCCCGGGATTTCGCCTCGGGATCCTCCTTCACTACTCCCACCCTAACCACCTTCAAGGTGCGAGCGTGGCTCTTATACGCCCCAAGTCCTAAGCAGGCTCTACTACCAGAAGGTCGCCGAGTGCCCCGGGCTTGAGATTTGTAGGGCTTAGGGTTTAGGGTTTAGGGTTTAGGGTTTGGCTTAGGGAAGCTTAAGCCCATCTCCCCGAAACCCCAGCCTCCCCCGCCAAACCTCAAAAAAGCCGAAGCCCCAAACCCAGGTTTGTCCCAAATCCCTGAGCCCCCTAAGTCCTACATCCCTAAATCCTGGAACCCTTAACCCGAAACCCTAGCCCTAAACCCTGGCGGGTCCACAACAGACCCGCGCAAAACTGTGGCCCCACCAGCAAACCTGAGATGCAGGACTTAGGTCACCGCCTTTAGTGTTGAGAAATGACGCCTCTCTGCTCCCCAGTGCGCCTAGAAGCAAGAACTTCCGGCCATTTCTACCCAGAAGAAGGTTTAACCTTCTCGAACGGATTAGACGATGTAAACCATGGACGTCATCATGCTTGGGCCATGGATGCCCTCTTCTCATCAGAGCAGAATAGACCATGGACGTCATGATGCTTGGACCCTGGATGCTCTCTTCCCAGAACGGAGAAGACCATGGACGTCATCATGGTTGGGCCATGGCAGTGCAGAAAACATGTAGACCATGGACGTCATCATGCTTGGGCCATGGATGCTCTCTTCTCATCAGAACAGAGTAGACCATGGACGTCATCATGGTTGGGCCATGATGCTCTCTTCTATAACTATGGTGAAGCAAACGTATTATTGAGACCCAGGGCTGGGCAGAAGCGGATGCAAGCAAGACAGGGCTTAGTTTAGGACACGTCGAAAGTGCGAAGTAGTGCACAAAACCCCACAAATACCAGTGCAGTCTACGGATGCCCAAAATTGCAGGATAATTTTTGGAAAAAATTGTGGGGATGAGGTGATGGGCGAAACCCAGGAAACATCGGTATTTACAGGGGATTCTGAGGGCAACAGAGCTAAACTGCCGAAAACCCGTGGGTCTGTTATGGCCCCGCCTAGCCCTAAACCCCCAGCCCAAAATCTACCCCTTCAACCCCAAAAACGGAAATTCCGGCCCAGGATCGCACACTGCAAGGTCTGCCGCGAGCGCATCGGCCAGCGGACCGGGGGGCACGAGGGCTTCAAATGCGTGGGGCCTCAGGGAATTTTGGTGCGGTTTCGGGTTTAGGGTCTAGGGTTTAGGGTTTAGGGTTTAGGGTGTAGGGTTTCGGGTTTAGGGTTTGAGGTCCGGTGTCCGTGTTCAAGGGTTGAGGGGTTAAGGGTTTTGAGGGGTTAGGACCCACAAGGGCGCCAGGGTTAGGTTTTGTTCTTGTCCTCCAGCTTTCGTGGTCTGCGCGGCTCAAGTACGTTGCAAGTTTTTCAGTCAAACCCCTCAACCACTATACCCCTGAACCCTAAACCCCAAACCCTAACCCCTCAACCCTTAACCCTCAACCTTCAACCCTCAACCCTCAACCCCCAACCCCAAACCCTCGACCCAACCCTCCACTTCCAAAGTCGCGTTTCCGCGTGGCCCCACGAGGCCGCGAGTGCGATTCGAGCGGTGGTGGCGGAAGGGGTCCCATGGGCGCCCTGGCAGTGCTAGCACTCAGGGTTCAATATTTCGGGTTTAGGGTTTAGGGGTTGGGGTTTAGGGTTTAGGATTTAGGGTTTAGGGTAGAATATGGGGGTTTGGGGCTACGGGTTGTTTAGATCAGCTAAGGAATTCAAAGGCTCGGTTAGGCCCCGCCTGAGCCCTGCAACCCCGACCCCCTCACATCTCAACCTCAGCCCCCCACTGAGGCGGTGGTGGCACCTTCTGGGTGTGCCTTACATGCTACAGGAAGTCGCAAAACACCAATACGCAGGACACTGATTCTGGCGTTGGTCCCCCTTTTCCTGAAGGGTCCGGGTTTAGGGTTTAGGGTTTAGGGTTTAAATTTGGGGTTTAGCGTTAAGGGTTTGGGGTTTAGGCTTCAGCACTTGTGGCTTCAGGAGCGTCCTGCTTCCAACCCCAAATTGGAATCCCAAACCGAGAGCCCTCAACTCAGCTGGGAGTTGCACCTAAAACTTTATAAACCTTAGAAAATGGGCAGAGTCCAGGGTTTAGGGTTTAGGGTTTGGGTTTGGGTTTGGGGTTTAGGGTTTAGGGTTTCAGGTTTCAGGCATGTCCCGAACTCTTGATTCCGGTAGCTCGCCGCAGGAGGGCATCCTCCGAGGGGACAAAGGGCCCAAGTATGCTGGGAGCTTGGACTTGGTTTTGAGGGGAGTTTAGGGTTTAGGGTTTAGGGTTTAGGGTTTAGGGTTTAGGGTTTAGGGTTTAGGGTGTATAGAAGGGAAGCTCGCTGGTGCTAAAAGCACCCGGGCCGCTCGCTTGCGTTGGCATGTAGTCCCACCCCAACCACCCAAACTATTCTCATTTAGGGTTTAGGGTTCACCCCCCAAACCCCCCTCAAGGGGGGCTTTCTTGCTTTTTGCAGAGAAAGAGCAGGGCGGGGTCTCCCGAGCTTCATGGAGCCTGTCAGTGGCTCGTAGGCTTCTTGGAGCTTTCACGGAGTAAAATGGAAGACCGTCAATTGCAATACCAAAAACCCACATTTTCGGGCTTGAAAGGGCAGCAAAAACGGTCGGGGGTAGCAGGGGCCTCGGCCGGCCCCTGCTTTTTAAAATGGAGGGTGCCCAAAACCGTCGATTTGCAATACTAAAAAAATTTTCTTAAGGGTCTGGGCAAATCCTGGATCTCGGGGCTTCATGTAGCCAACAGAGCAGCAAAGAGGTAGCGGGTAGCAGGGGCCTCGGCCGGCCCCTGCTTTTCGATTGCAAGACGAAAAACCCACATTTTCATTACGGGTCTGGGCAAATCCTGGATCTCGAAAACGGTATAGGGGGTAGCAGGGGCCTCGGCCGGTCCCAGGATTCGCAGAGGTTTCAGGGTGTCAGGAACAGTTAGGGTCCTCACAAGCGCTCGCAGGAGGCCAAGGTGCCAGGGGGTCCTTTTGTCCCAGGAAAGGTCAGAAGGGTTTCAGGGGGGGTCGTAGGGGGGTCCCAGGCGCTTGAGGGTCCCACAAGAAGGTTTGGGGGTCAGGGAGTCGCAGGGCGGTTTGAGGGGGGTGTCAGAGGAGGTTTCAGGGTGTAGCACGTAAGGCCTTGGGCGGGCTTGAGGCCCCTCAGGGGGGGTCTCAGGGGCCGCCCTGGGAGGCCCTCCAGGCGGTCCCAGCAAAATGTAGGGGGTTCCAGGTGGGTCCCAAGGCCGTTGCAGGAGCCGCCCAGAAGGGGGGGGGGGGTTCGGAATCTGCCAGCTCAGGGCCCCGGAATTGCCCGGGGGTACCCCCAAACCTCGCACCATTGGCGTCTTTTAGTGTTTTTGGTCTTAATTCTATTAGGGCTGACGCCCTAGGTCTGAGGCGTAGCCAGTCACTGCCGTCTCGTACGGGAGGCTTTACCCTACCCTTACCGTTCTGTGGAGACGCTCGGTCGGGGACCTCGGTCGAAGCCTCGAGCGCCCATGCATATGGACAGCGGCGCTCTCGGCAGTTTAGGGTTTAGGGCTTAGGAGTTGGAATTTTGGATGGAGGGTGGCTATGACGGCTCAGGATGTTTTGGGCTCTCTTGGAAAGCCCAGAGCCTCCTACCTCAACCCCTGAATCCTGAACCCTGAACCCAAACCCTCCAAAACCATGCTCCAAAGCCCTGCACCCCTATGCAGGCCTGGGGTTTGGTCTTTCAGGGCCTAGGGTTTAGGGTTTAGGGGTTCAGGGATTTAGAGTTTAGGGTTTAGGGTTTTTGGAAGCCTCGAAGCATCCTCGTGAGGTGCCAGAGCTCACCAGCTGGGAGTACTTCAAGCGCGCGCTGAACCTCTGCAAGCCCTTTCGGACGGTGTTGCAGCGCCATGCACGGAATATCTCTCTCGTTGTTCCTTGCTTTTGGGATCTTGTAGGAATCCGTTTCTAAGACCCTCCCCCCGCCCTGTATCGTTTAGCAAGTCGGCCTGGTTTAGCAACACCCATCTATGCTCTAGAGGCCAAAGTTCACTGAGGGCTGACGGACTTGATAGTTGAGGTTTGAAGGTATCTAGGGTCTTCATGCCTGGGGGGGGGGGGCTTTCGGGTTTAAGGGTTTCGGATCTGGTCTCGTGAGGCCTGTGAAACTCTGAGCGGCCTCCCGGAAAGGTTCACTCGTGAATCTATTCTCCCCTTTCGATAAGAGCAACTCGCACCAGAGTAAATCAAAGAACGAGACAAAGCATTTGATGAATTGGCCCGACAATGTAACAAGATTGCCGGTCAATTAGAAGAGCATTGCTGTCAAACATTTGGAGGGTAATGGTTACATTAGCAAACTGCAAGTCTGACTTAATGTAAAGTAAGTGTACCAGAATTGTGGTAAAAGCATTTGCTAAATCAGCAAACTTGAAATTCTGACGTAATGTGAAGTGTGCCAACAGATTTGTGATAGTACTGACGGCTAAGTTGGCAAACAAGGTAAGGTAAATCATTTTCGTCTCTGCAATCGTGAATATCCATCATGCCTGTTTGCTTGTCGTGTGAAATTCGGCTGGTTACAGGCTTTACCACCCATCATTTTTTGAGATGATAATCAACCAGGCTCACATGCAGCATGCCCGCTTTAGGGACCGGGCCTAAGGCCTAGTTTTCAACGGCCCAAAGCCCCAACGAGTCATGCTTCCCCGCACATGCGAGGTGCGCAGTCGCCTGCACCATCATCACCCAGGTGTCTTCCTTGGCTTTTTTTGGCAAAATTGTGGCAAACTTTGGGGTCGAGTGCCTGTTGTGGCAGCGCATCGTGTCGGACTTGAGGGTAGGCCGTTCTTTTGAAATGCCTTTTTGATTGCAGCCCCGTATAAGCTTGCTGCTAGGGGGTTTCAGGCTTCTGGGTTTCGGGCGGGTGCTTCTGTGTTTTGGGTTTGTGGCCCCGTCGGATGTGTGGAAGCGCACATTATAAGTTGGCCATAAGGGGAGTTCACTGGACCGGAAGCCGCCGTCCTGAGCCCAAAGCCTTCAATCCCGATTCCTAAGCCCAAGACATCCAACTGGCTAGGGTTTAGGGTTTAGGGTTTAGGGTTTAGGGTTTAGGGTTTAGGGTTTAGGGTTTAGGGTTTAGGGTTTAGGGTTTAGGGTTTAGGGTTTAGGGTTTAGGGTTTAGGGTTTAGGGTTTAGGGTTTAGGGTGGGCTTAGGGTTTAGGGTTTAGGGTTCAGGGTCCTTGCTTGGAGCAGGTCGGCCGGGTGCTGCTTCCCCGGTTCCAGGGCGACATCATCAACAGCCTCATCGACCAGAACAGAGAGGCGGGTTTAGGGTTTAGGGTTTAGGGTTTAGGGTTTGGGTTTAGGGTTTAGGGTTTAGGGTTTAGGGTTTAGGGTTTAGATGGTTTCGCTGAGGTTTGAGCTGCTCACTTGGAGGCCCTTTCCTAAGGTCTGACGACCTGAAGCTCCCCAAGCCCTAAACCCTAAACCCTAGCCCGAAACCGAATGTTTGGAGGTTGAGGGTGGGTGGGTGGAATGACGCCTGAAACCTCCAGTCCAATCCAGGCCCTGCCGGCCACACTCCCTGAGGCCTCCCCCCCTCAGGAAAAAGAGCGCCGTCATCAACCCTTCTGAATTTGGCCCCCCCCCCCCCCGTCCCAAAGAAAAAACAAAGGAATCCTTTGTCCTGAACCACAGACTTTTGTCCGCATGGCTTTTTTCTTTGCTCTTGAGCGGCAGGTCTTCTCGTCCAAGCTGCCGCTTGGCTGCAGGGTGGCCCTCGTGTTCATGGGTCCCCGCCTCTAGGGTTCAGGTTGGGATGTTACCCCTTATGCTAACAGTCCTTAACAGGGAGTATAATGGGGGCAATACTAACAGTCCTTAATAGGGATTAGAATGGGGGCAATACGAACAGTCCTTAATAGAATGGGGGCAATACTAACAGTCCTTAATAGGGATTAGAATTGGGGGCAATACTAACAGTCCTTAATAGGGATTAGAATGGGGGCGACTATAGTACTAAGAGTCCTTAGTAAGGATTATTATGGGGGCTACTATCATCCCCATTAAGGACAGCTCGCCTAAGGGGCAACATCCGAGGTTCAGGTTTGATCCGTCTTGGTGGCCTCTCGGGATCGGGATCCACTGAGAGGGAGGTTGCAGATGTAGGCTCCAGGCCCGAATCCTGGTGCAAAAGCCCCAAACTCTTTTTGGTTTGGGGTTTAGGGTTTAAGGTTTGGGTTAGGGTTTAGGGTTTAGGGTTTAGGGTTTAGGGTTTAGGGTTTAGGGTTTAGGGTTTAGGGTTTAGGGTTTAGGGTTTAGGGTTTGCTAAGGTTCCGCGCGCACCACCACGCGGGACGTGTGCTGTGGTGTGCGCCCAGGTTCAACGCACTCTCCCAACCCACCCACCCACATCTCAACCTTGGGCGGGTTTAGGGTTTTATAATATCATGTGTAAGTACAGTAGTGGGAGGGGGCGCTACGGGCCGCCTTTGACCAAATCCTGGGGTACCCCCCGCGAAGGCCTCTCTGTCCGCCCAAGATCCATAGGTTTTTTTGGCGGGTTTAGGGTTTTTTTTGCCCGGTGTTTCCAAGTTATGATGCTTATACCGGGCTTACTATTACAAGACCCAGAGGTTTATGCCTTGGGCTCCCTTTGATTTTTGGTCCTGCCCCCTCTCTACGATTGGGGAGGGTCTGGGATTGGCCGAAGGAGGCCTTTCAGGAGACCTTCTGGAAGGACTGTCCTGGGACCTCCTGAAACCCTGCTTACAAGATCCATAGGTTTATATGTTGGGCTCCCTTTGATTTTTGGTCCTGGGAGTCGATTGGGGAGGGTTTGGGAGGCCTGGCCGAAGGAGGCTTCCTGAAAGGATTTCCTGGTGGCCCCCTGGAACCTCGGCCCAGGACCTCTTGGGACCTTGCTTACAAGATTTTGGCGGGTTTAGGGTTTTTTGGCCCGGTGTTTCCCAAATTATGATGCTTATACGGGGCTTACAAGACGCAGAAGTTTATGCCTTGGGCTCCCTTTGGTTTTTGGTCCTGCGCCGTCTCTACGATTGGGGAGGGCTTGGGCCCAAAGCAGCCCAAAAATGGTTTAATGATCCGGAGAAGCCCAAAAAGGCTCAAACAGTCCGGGAGGAGCCCAAAGAGGCTCAGAACTGGTCCGGCAGAAGCCCAAAAAGCTCAGAAATGGTCCATAAGATGGTGGGGTAAACCCAAAAAAGCTCAGAAATGGCTCAGAAATGGTCCGGGAAGAGCTCAGAAATGGTCCGGGAAGAGCTTAAAAAGGCGCAGAAATGGTCCCTACCCCAAAAGGCCCAGAAATGGTTCGGGAGGAGCCCAAAAAGGCTCAGAAATGGTCCGAAAGAACAAAAAGGCGCAGGGCTCAGAAATGGTCCGGGCCGAGCCCAAAAAAGGCTCAGAAATGGTCCGGGAGAGCCCAAAAAGGCTCAGAAATGGTCCGGGGCTCAGAAATGGTCCGGGAAGCCCAAAAGGCTCAGAAATGTTCCGGAAAGAGCCAAGGCTCAGAAATGGTCTGGGGGGAGCCCAGAAAGGCTCAGGACCCTTAGACGCACCAGTGCGGGGTCACTAAGCACCTAAGCTTTAGGGTAATTCTCTTTGGAGCCAGACTGACAAACCCTTCTAGGCGTGGGCCGCGCTCACCGCGCGCAACGGCCCCGAGCCCTCGCCAGGCCAAGGCTCGGGCTCGTCCGCGGGCCTGTCGCCACGCGGTATCGCTCGCCGCTGCTTATCGCAGCGCCCGCGGCTCGCTCCAGTTTAGGTTCGTTTAGAGTGTAGGGGTTTAGGCCCAAACCTCAGCAAGACCCCAACTCTCCCTCACTGTCATCCGAGGCTCACGTACCTGCTGCTATCCATCTTCACCATGCTCTTCGGGTCTGTCCAGCGGCCAGGCTGTGGTAAGCTCTGGACAAACCGTTAGGTTTAGGTTTCGGGTTTAGGGTTTAGGGTTTAGGGTTTAGGGTTTAGGGTTTAGAGTTTAGGGTTTAGGGTTTAGGGTTTAGGACGACAATGGAAAGCCGGACCATGGTGTTTTGGAGTGTCACTGGTTTCGAAACAAGGAGTTCTTGTTATCCTTGATTTTTGTTCCCTGATTTTTTGTTTTACGCTTTTGGGTGGGGTGGGATGGCCCTAACCCCTAAACCCTACTAAGCCCCCGGTTTGTGTGGGATGTTCCCCCTTCTACTAACAGTCCTTAATGGGATTGATATCCCGATGAAGGACTGTTAGCAAAAGGGGAAACATCCCAAGTTTACGGTTGTGTGTGTGTGTGTGTGTGTGTTTTTCGGGTGTTTCAGCCCAGGAGCGTTTGCGTGGAGATCGTGCAGAGGAGGCCGGCAGAGGTAGGTTCCTTGCGGTTGGGGTAGAAGAAGTATCTCAGGCCGACCACAAGAATCCGAAGGTTTAGAAATTTCCCTCAACCCTAAACCCTAAACCCTTTAGCCCTAAACCCTCTGGCCCTCAACCCTAAACCCTACACCGTCACTGCTTTGCTCTCACTGGGCCAGGATTACGTGCGACACACGGACGGCCGCTCGGAATCTTGGAGCTTTGAGGCGTCTTGAATCCTAAACTCTCAATCCTAAACTCTAAACCCCTAAACTTCCCTAAGCCCTAAACTCTAAACCCTAAACCATAAACCCCGAAACCATAGAGGGACCCTAGAGTTTGGGGGTTCAATGTGGCGGCAAAGCCTACTAGGATCTACTCGGAGCTTTTTGGGGCATTCGGGGAGGTTTATAGAGACCAGTGGCCCTCTTGCGGTTGCGATACCTTCGTGCCAGGCTTGGCAGTAAACCCCCAAACAACCCTAAACCCTAAACCCTAAACCCTAAACCCTAAACCCTAAACCCTAAACCCTCAACCCTAAACCCTCAACCCTAAACCCTAAACCCTAAACCCTAAACCCTGAACCCTAAACCCAAATGCGAAATCGGACGAAGTCTTGTCCCAAATCCCTGCACAACTTGGGTCTGTCGAATTTATGGTCCCTAATTGTCGTACCCCTGAATCCTAAGTCGAGGGAGAAAAGCTCACACATGGATTGGCTTCCCCTTGGGGTTAGGGGGTCTTTGGGGGTAGGGTTCAGGGTTCAGGGTTCAGGGTTCAGGGTTTCGGGTTTAGGGTTGAGGGTTTAGGGTACAGGGACTCGCTTCGATCAGCCTCTCGGAAATCAAAAGAAGCTTGCGGGGTTCTTATTGTTCTGCGAGTCTTGGTCTGTTGGCCTTGCTGACTTGAGGTTATGTTCGAGAGCCTCGTCAAGCAAGACATCGCCTTCTTCGATGGCACGATGACAGGCGGCGGGCTTCTGTAGGGCGGGGCCAGGTAGGGAGGGGGTTGAACGGCCTGAGCTCATAAATCATGCATACTTCTTTCTTTGAGTTCGTCTGGACGAGTGACCTCTAGGATCCCAGTTTTGGGTTTAGGGTTTAGGGTTTAGGGTTTCAGCTGCAGCTGCCTCTTTCCCCAGCCGGCACTGCAGGCCAACTCACGTCGAGGATGACGAACGACGTGGCGGCCGTTGTGCAGCCGGTTCGACAGATCTTGCTTGGGGCCCCAGGAGGGTGGGCCAACAAAGAACCAAGAAGGGGACCCTGGGACATGGGACCCTAAGCCTATAAAAGCCCACAAAATTGAGCCCGAAAGGAAGTAGGACCAAGGGCTCCGGGTTCGAGGGGCTTGGGGAAAGAGACTTGTTGGGGATTGGGAGGGTGGAGGTTCTGCAAACCATGTAACGCACTTCTGTATGCATCTGTTGTTGGATATATGTTTAGCAAAAGGACGCGCATGGTTGCGCGGATTTTTTGGCGGCAATTGCCGGTCCATGCCCTGCCATACGTATTCATGTCTTCTAACCTGGCTTCCTGAACTTCTACCGGTTCCTTCCCTAAAAAAAAACAAACAATAACCCACGCTTCCGTAGATCCCAGCAGTAGTCGGTTCGGAGAGGGCTTTGGGCTGAGACCTCAAAACCCACAACCCCCCTAAACCACTAAACCTTCAACCCTTAACGACTGCAAAAAGAAACCTCGGACCCGAAACCAGGGGCTTCCTAAGCTCAGGAACACCTTCTTGACTAGCATCCTCCGCTTGATCGGGGGCCTCTTCATGTGCTCCAGTGGCAAAAGGGCCCCAAAAGGCCTGGTAGCCCTAAACCTCTAACCCTATACTCCCCACAGCTCCCGACATCTGCTGCAAACTCAAAGTCCCCCGAGCTCTCAGCAGAGAGTTACCTTGACGCAGGTACCAAAGTTCTTGCCTAAACCCTGTAGCCTCCGAAGCCCTGGGAGCCCAACCCCCCCAAAAGCTCTGAGGCCCGGAAACTTGATTTCCAAAAGCATCCAACAGCTCTTTAACCCTGAAGCCAGAACTTGACGACAGCCCCAACCCCAAACAACGCCAGGCTTCCGGGTACCCGGAGTTCAGTCAGGGTTTAGGGTTTAGGGTTGTTCAGGGTTTAGGGTTTAGGCTTCTTTTGTTGCCTTTTTCCCTTGGGGCGGGGGGGGCGGGCAGGGTTTAGGTTTGATTGCCTGGGTGTCATGGGCGCCCAGACGGAGCAGCTTGAGCCAACGAATCTTCCACGGTCATCCCTGAATCGCCAGCCAGCCGCCCAACGCCCAAAGCACAAGCCAACGGCCAAGAACCAACCCTAAACCCTCAACCCTCAACCCTAAACCCTCAACCCTCAACCCTGAACCCCTAAACCCCGAAACCCCAGAAACAACAAGTCGCCCCCAAAAGCACCCAAGCCCAGGTGCCTGTTCACATCCTGGAAGCTGACTGCACCTGGGCAGATCACATGTAGGACTAGGGTCTCGGGGTTTAGGGTTTACGGTTTAGGGTTTAGGGTTTAGGGTTTAGGGTGGGGTGAAAGTTTCCCCGACTTGTGTGGGGTTTCCCTGCTGTTTAGCTGGACTCCTAGGACTCGCCTAAACCTGGCTTCTGCGCAGGAGGCTCATTCGCGTTCGGGGGCGTTCAGGGGTGTAGGGTCCCCAGGGTCTTGGGGCAGCTTTGATTGATCAAGCCGCAACGAGAGGTTCTGGCCGCCACGATGATTGGTCCGGTGGTGTACCTCACCGGCGTCTACGCCAAGTGGTCCAAGCAACATGCAGGAGAAGTGGAGGGGAGGTCGGGGGGGGGGGGGGGGCTTGCTTTCGGGGCCAATTAAGGGGTTCAGGGTCTGACGGTTTCGATGGTGGAGGGTCCTAAGCCGTAAGCCAGGACTGCTTGACTCGTACCCTGAACCCTGAACCATCTGCATCGCTCTATCGGACTGGAAGATTGAAGATCAGCGAAACCCGGCCCCGAAACCAATCACACCTACACCTTGCATGGAAAGTTCATAAAGGGGACCCAACAAGGGGACTTCACTCTCTAGAGCTACCCTTCACCCGAGGCCCTTAAAACCCTAATCCCTAAAGTTTTCCCTAAGCCCTAAGCCCTTGACCCTAAGCCCTAAACCCTAAACCCTAAACCCTAAACCCCAAACCCTAAACCCTAAACCCCCGAAGCGGTTGGGCAGAGCCCAGGCAGCTGAACATGGCCATCCGCGTCAACATGGCTGATGCGAACGCTGTTTCTACCGAGGCTGGGGTCGGTAGCTGGGGGGTTTGAGGTTGGTCTAGGGTTTCAGGGTTTGGGGTTTAGGGTTCAGGGTTTAGGGTTTAGGGTTTGGGCACTTAAAGTTTATTTAGGGCTTTGTTGGTTTGTTTTGTGTTTTTTTGGGGGGGAGTCTGAAGCTGGTGCGCGCCTCGGAATTCTCACCCCTGAGCCTTAAGCCCTAAGCCCTAAGCCCTAAACCCTAAACGCTAAACGCTAAACGCTAAACGCTAAACCCGAAACCCTAAAACCTAAACCGCACAAAGGTGTTGAAAAACTTGAAAGCTCCCAAGACCTCGATCTTCGAATTGTCCCGGAATCCGGACACCGAACTCTGAAGTCCCTAAACCACACAAACCCCAGGCGCTCCGGAACATCCGCACGGTGCGCTCCTTTGGGGCGGATTCGCTGGCCTCTCGATGGGGTTTAGGGTTTCGGGCTCGGGCGTCTAGGGGTTCAGGGTTTGGAGGGTTTGAGCCCTAAACCCGAAACCCGAAACCCGAAACCCTAAACCCTAAACCCTAAACCCCAAACGTTGGGAGTTTAGCGGAACCTGACGAAAAGCCGGATCTTCCCAGGAAGTTCCTGACAACTCCACAGCTGCTTAGAACCCTCAACCCCTACATCGCAGGGTTTACGGTGTAGGATTTAGGGTCTAGGGTTTAGGGTTTAGGTTTAGGGTTTAGGGTTTAGGGTTTAGGGTTTAGGGTTTAGGGTTTAGGGTTTAGGGTTTGGGGTTTACAGTAGGGTTTAGGGCTGAGGCTGTAAGGCTTTGCTGTCGAGGATTTCGGATAAGGGGAGCCTAGCGTGCAGGACTCGATGTAGGGATTTGGGTGTAAAGCCCGAAACCCTGACCGCAAACCCTAAACCCTAAACCCAAAAAACCAAAACCCCAAAACCCCAAACCCACGAACCCTAAACCCCAAACCCCAAACCCTAAACCCTAAACCCTAAACCCTAAACCCTAAACCCTAAACCCTAAACCCTAAACCCTGAACCCTCTATCTCTTGGGGCCCTGCGGCCAAGGAAGTCACTGCTTTCCGCCGGCACATAGACCAGGCACTTCACGGAGGTGGCCTGTCTCTGAACACACCTTGTGCCCCTTTCTAGGGTTTAGGGTTTAGGGTTTAGGGTTTAGGGTTCAGGGTTTAGGGTTTAGGGTTTAGGGTTCAGGGTTTAGGGTTCAGGGTTTAGGGTTTAGGGTTTAGGCTTTAGGGTTCAGGGTTTAGGGTTTAGGGTTTAGGGCTATCTATCTAAAACCCTCAACCCTGAACCCTAAAACCTCCACCCTGGGCAGGCATGAAGGACGCGTACGCCTCTGCTGGGGTGTCTGCTATCACGCAGCCGCCTGCCTGGTGAACCTCTAAACCCTAAACCCGCAACCCTAAACCCTAAACCCTAAACGCTAAACCCTAAACCCTCAACCCTAAACCCTAAAACCTAAACCCGAAACCCTTAACCCCTAAACCCTCAACCCTAATCCCTAAACCCAAGCCTCAAGAGACCGGTCTTGCTGGAGGGTTTGGGTCGTGGAAGTTACGTGGCTGCAGGGCGGAACGCTTCGCAGAATTAAGGGTGGCCGTGGGGCTTGATTGGGCGTAGCTATCAGGTGTTTTGGCTTTGAGGGTTGTGGGCAGAGGTTTCGGTTTTAAGGGATTTGGGGGTTTTGGGGCTTCAGGTGCTTTGGGTTCTAGGGGCTTAAGGCATTCTTCTTCTTCTTGTTCTTGTTCTTGTTCTTCTTCCTCTTCTTCTTGTTCACTTTTTTTGGTTGGCGGGGGGTGGAGGGGCCATCATCGTGTGACCGCAAAGTCATCACCACAAGATCTCTTACTCTCAGCCTCTGGTCTTCAGTGTCCCTGGTGCCCCAGAGTTTAGGAGGACGTCGTAAACCCTAAACTTTAGTTCCAAACCCTGTAACCTCACAGCCTAAGCACTGCAACCAGAGCCACAAAATACTCCACCACAAGCCCTATACATTGGGATGTTCCCCCTTATAGTAGCAGTCCTTAATGGGATTCTAGCAACTACCCCCATTATGGACTGGTAGTACAAGGGGGAACATCCCAACCTATACATCCCAAACCATCAAAGCCTCAACCCCAAACCCTATACCCTAAACCCTTGTCCATCAGGTATCTGGACTTTGCTGCCACCATCCTGATTCTGTGGTATGGTGGCTTTGCCGTGCTTGGCGATGGCCAGCAGGGGCTTCTGAGCCTGGGTCGAAAAGGCTGTTGGAGGTGTAGTGTAGTTGCGTAGCGGCGTAGCCCTAAACCCTAAACCCTATATCCACCCCAAACCCTAGACCCTAAACCCTAAACCCTAAACCCTAAGCCCTAAACCCTAAACCCTAAACCCTAAACCCTAAACCCTAAACCCTAAACCCTAAGCCCTAAACCCTAAACCCTAAACCCAAAACCCAAAACCCTAAACCCTTCGAATGAATTCATTGAGCCCTTTGGCTCCTCAGACCTGGCTGGCCGGAGTGGAGGGGCGGCATATTACATCATTTTTTGGGATGTTCCCCCTTATACTAACAGTCCTTCATATTTGGGTTTAGGGTTTGAACGGACAGTTCCTCAGCTTTGCGGGCCATCGCTCGAGGCGGTTCAGGCTTTAGGTCTTAGGGTTTAAAGTTTAGGGTTTAGGGTATAGGGTTCCAAATCCCTGTATAGACCCCGGCACCAAACCCTCTACCCTAACCCTCTACCCTCATCTCATGCACGCGGTGGGACAACGAGCCTCTACGCCCTGCACCCCAACGCCACGAAACCTACAACCTTCAACCCCAGAGCTACTTACGTCGCAAAACCTTTGGCTCTTCAGTTCCCCGCAAAAACTCCTAAACCCCAGCCCTAAACCCTGAAGCCAACCCAAAGCTCCCGTAAGATCCCGAGCCCGGTGGTGCCCAAGGATCGGCCACCTCATCACCTTCAACCTTTACTGGAACATGCTCAATGCCCGGGGGCCGGAGTTGGGGATGTGGGGGCCCTTTTTTTTGTGGGGGGACTGGCAGGGCGGGGGTTTTGGAGCGTGCAGGGGGATGGTTGGGTTTGGGGTTTGGGGTTTGGGGTTTAGGGTTTAGGGTTTAGGGTTTAGGGTTTAGGGTTTAGGGTTTAGGGTTTAGGGTTTAGGATTTAGGGTTTAGGGTTTAGGGTTTAGGGTTTAGGGTTTAGGGTTTAGGGTTTAGGGTTTAGGGTTTAGGGTTTAGGGTTTAGGGTTTAGGGTTTAGGGTTTAGGGTTTAGGGTTTAGGGTTTAGGGTTTAGGGTTTATGGTTTAGTGTTTAGGGTTTAGGGTTTAGGGTTTAGGGTTTAGGGTTTAGGGTTTAGGGTTTAGGGTTTAGGGTTTAGGGTTTAGGGTTTAGGGTTTAGGGTTTAGCAGACCGTTGCTGCACGGGGGCCGAACCACGGGTGTTAGCTGTCGGGGCGGCAAAGATGGCATTGGCTTACTTTGGCCTGCTGCGCAGGTGCCCCCATCACCACCAGACCCTAACCCCTCAACCCTCAACCCTAAACCCTAAACCCTGAACCCTAAATCCTAAACCCTAAGCCCTAAACCCTAACACCCTAAACCCTCAAACCCTAACCCCTAAACCCTAAACCCTAGACCCTAGACCCTAAACCCTCTAAGCCCCTGAGCCGCCTGAGCCGTGAAGGCCCATAAAACACAGCTAAGCCCGAAACACTAGATGCGAAGCCCGAAGCCCTAAGCTCTAAACTACAGCCCAGACTCTCACCCCTACAGCCGGCAACCTGAATCCCTAAACCCCAAACCCCAAACCCCAAACCCCAAACCCCAAACCCCAAACCCCAAACCCCAAACCCCAAACCCCAAACCCCAAACCCTAAACCCTAAACCCTAAACCCTACACCACGTAAGCCCCGAACTCTAAGAAGCTGTGCTGAGACCTCGATCACCAACCTCAATGGGATGCTGAACACCCTGGTGGCTTTCCTCAGGATCAGAAGTTCTTGTGGGGAGTAGGGTTTAGGGTTTAGGGTTTAGGGTTTAGGGTTTAGGGTTTAGGGTTTAGTGTCTGAGTTTGTAGAGTTGAGTGTCTTAGAGTTTAGGGGATTTCAGGGTGTCAGGACTTGCGGCTCAGATTGAAGTCAAGAGGGGTACCCCCGGAAGCTCACTAGGTGGTGCTGGGGAGCGGAGACTTCAGGGGCCCTCAAGGTTGAGTAAACCTGCCACCTTCGGGTTTGTTCACTGTTTTTGTTTAGGGTTTAGGGTTTAGGGTTTAGGGTTTAGGGTTTAGGGTTTAGGGTTTAGGGTTTAGGGTCTAGGGTCTAGGGTTTAGGGTAGGGTTTAGGTTCCCCACCCCGAAGACGGGAACCCACGCACCCCAAGCACCATCCCCAAAAGCCCGGAATGTGCCGAAACCCTGAACCCTGAGACCCCAACTCCTACGGCCCCACCGTTACGACCGTCCCTAACCCGAAGCTTTGAAACCCTAAGCCCTAAACCCTAAACCCTAAACCCTAAACCCTAAACCCTAAACCCTAAACCCGAAACCCGAAACCCCAAAGCTCCTACAACTCCGGGTTTAGAGTTTCGGATGTAAAGCTGCCCAGAAGCTGCGAGAAAAGCACAGGGCTAGACCCCAGGTGAAGGCAGCATCGGCTGCGCAGCGCGTGCCCGGGACTCAGGGCGGGAGGTGGCGAAGATGTTGGGGTTGTGCAGGTCTGAGGTTTAGGGTTCGGGGGGCAAGCGTACACCCTAAACCCTAAACCCTAAACCCAAAACCCTAAATCCTAAATCTTCAACCCGAAATCAGATGTCACCACCCTCACGCCCTTTTTTGGGCCCGCTGCGCCATAATCATATAGGGGTCGGAATGAATACTAATCCAGCCTCAACCCGAAGCCTCGAACCTCTACCCGGCCTTGGCCCTTCTCGGAGTGAAGGGAATTGGGCATCTTATCTCCCCCTATACTTTCCTTTAACGGGGGTTATTTCTGGGGGTACCATCTCCCCTCTATACTTTCCTTTAAAGGAGTTATATAATGCCTTTATTGGGCATCTTATATCCCCCTATACTTTCCTTTAAGGGAGTTGTATCTGTTCCCTACGAAGAGAGCTAGCCAGCTTGCAAAGGTTCGAGATCATCGACCTTGAGCCGGACATCCCTGGCGATGACGGCGACGTGGACCTTGCAGGGTTAGGGTTTCGGGTTTTGGGGTGTTTGGGGCTTTGTGGGGTTTTTGGGGTGTTGGGGTGTTTCGGGTGTTCGGGGTGTTTGTGGTGCTTGGGGTGTTTGGGGTGTTTGAGGTTGTTAGGGATGTTTGGGGTTGTTTGGGGTTGTGTGGGGTGTTGCGGGTGCTTGGGGCGTTTGGGGTGTTTGGGGGTGTTTGGGGTCTTATCCAACCCTCACGCCTCGAAGGCTTCGTGTCCTAAACCCCAAAGTAAAGGGACCTTCATGGGAACCCCAAACAGGGAACCCCAAGAATGGGGTAGGAATCTACTAGGAATATACCTACCAGGGTCCTTATATCCCCCTTATGTTCCTACTACATTCTTGGGGTTCGCTGTCTGGGTTCCCATTGGACCCCTCTACTGTTTGGAAGGACCTCCCGAGGGGCAAGCCCTGCAGCATCGACTTTGAGGACTGCTCTGGGGTTTAGGGTTTAGGGTTTAGGGTTTAGGGTTTAGGGTTTAGGGTTTAGGGGTTGGGGTTTAGCTTCAGCTGCCTGGGCTCTGAAGGCTTCACGGTTTTGTTGGGGGGCTTCGGGGTTCAGGGCGGACTTGGCTGCTTCAAGGCCCAGACAAAAAAGCTTGCCCATGGAATTGCAAGACATTGCCCCACGTGTTCCTCGTGACCCGCCAAAGTGTTCCGTGTGTTCCAAATGTTCCATGTCTCCAAGGTGCCCCAGGAGACCCAAGTGCCCCACAATCTTCAGCTCCCAGAACTTGAGTCTTATGTCAGGTTCGGGCAGGCATGTGCGGCACATGCAACCCGCTGCCCTGCACAGAAACTGCGCAACTGCAGCTCCAACAAAAGCAAACGCCATCATAAGGCTTGTGCCAAAATCACCCTGCATCCAAGTGCATGCCCCTAAACTCTAAACCCTAAACCCCATGCTGCCTTTTGAAAGACTGAAGAGGCTTTAACGCTACGAGCATGAAAGTTGTAAGTGGGCGGTCTTGCAGCGGGGAGCTCTGCTGTCTGAAGCGCGCTCACAAACGGGGTTCCGATGGTTTAGGGTTTAGGGTTTCGGGTTTAGGGCTTAGGGCGCCCTGAACCCTAAACCCCCAAAAACCAAGGCTATTTTGGAAGATCTGGGCAGTTGCCCCCCCCACATCTGCATTTCCTTTTACACTCACTGCGCTGCTTTGGAGTGCAGTTTGGGGATCAGCTCTGGGTTTCGGCGTTTCGGGCTCAGAATTCGTCTCAGTGTTCGTTCCGCGGTTTTTTCCAAGCGGGTACGTAGGGTTTAGGGTTTAGGGTTTGGGGTTTGGGGTTTGGGGTTTGGGGTTTAGGGTTTAGGGTTTAGGGTTTGGATTCCTGGCAAGGCCATCAAGTTTCTCTACCCCATGCGACCGGAGAACGTGGTCCTTCAAAGCTGCAGCTTTAGCATAGGCCTGGGTCTCACGCTTCGGAGACAGTTTTAGGGACGTAGGGCTTATAGGGCTTTAATAGGGAATTTGATGGAATAATAGGGCTTGAATTTTGGGCTTCCTGGCAGCATTATTATGTCCATGCCACTTTCACTGTCTCTGAGCAACAAAAGTTAAAGCATGTTCCTGAAGCATCTGATGTTCAAACTGCTCCTTCATTTAACCGGGTTTCCCTGAACGACCAAGCGAAGCTGGTGATGCATTTTCTGCTCGTTGGTTAAGAAGCAACTGTTGAGGCATAATTTCTTCGTGCTTGCTTGTAGCAAGTGCATGTGCTCACACTTTACCAGTCTCCTGTGTTATTCGCCACGTAGAAGGGTTCAGACAGGAAAGTACCGCGCCTGCCACACAAAACGATTGAAATTCTAGACCAAATGACCCATTTATGCGCAATCTGTTAATGATAAAAAGAAGGAAGAGCACATGGCATTGGGTGTTTTCGTGAGAAATCCTTGGCGGGCTTAACGACTTCTCCCTAGGAATAGCATGACAGGAGAATACGCGAGTTCTATGCAATGAACTTGAACATGCAAGAAATTATCTGTATGAGTTTTTTGTTTTTGGGCTTTCCGCTGTAGGGCTTTTAGGTTATGGGCTTAGAAGCCTGTCTGATTGGGGTACCCTCTGCAGGTCTGCGCATTTCACTTATTCATCAGGGACCTTTGAAGCCATCAACCGATCATCAACCTTCTTCTCAGGCCCTAAACCCCTAAACCCTACACCCCTAAACCCTAAACCCCTAAACCCTAAACCCTAAACCCTAAGCCCTAAGCCCTAAGCCCTAAGCCCTAAGCCCTAAGCCCTAAACCCTAAACCCTAAACCCCAAGTACCATGAACCTCCAAGTGGGTTCAGGTGCTGGCCAGACGGTGGCGGTTGTTGGCCGCAGCGGGGCTGGAAAGTCTGCCGCCCAGATGTGCTTTGTCAAGTTTCCCCCAAGAAGCCCAACTTAACTTCGCCTCTCTAGCCCTAAACCCTAGGGTTTAGGGTTTAGGGTTTAGGGTTTAGGGTTTAGGGTTTAGGGTTTAGGAATTAGGGTTTAGGGTGTAAGCCAAGAGCCCAAGGAGCCAGAAAAGTAAGCCACGGAATCCCAAACCCGGAACTCAAACCGCAACCCAGGGTCCTAACCCTGCACAAGCCCGAAACCCGCAATGGGAGGGTTCAAGGTTTAGGGTTTAGGGTTTAGGGTTTAGGGTTTAGGGTTTAGGGGAGATCCGGACGTCGAATCCCTGGCTTTCGGGTTTAGAGTTTTAAAGGGGCAGTAGCTACGCCCAAAGCCCAAAATACTTAAGCGCCAGGATCCCTACAGACCCTAAAGCCGGAGGCCTAAACCCCGAATCCCTAAACCCGATAGACCTCACCGATGGGACTCCAAGAATGCACCTCTCCAGGAGCACTTTGGTGGGCTTGCTGCTGCGGTTCTACGACCCAAAAGGCGCGGAGGTTCGAGGGCGCCGAGGGTCTCGGGATACAGGAGTCCGGGGGGGCTTTGTCAGGGTTTAGGGTTCGGCGGGGGGGCTGGGGGCGGGGGTTCGGGGTTAGGGTTCAGGCTTTAGGGTTTAGTTTTTTTTTTTTCTTTTTTTCGGGCGGGGGGGGGGGTTGGCGCTTGCCTCGTACAAGGCCAATGCCTTGAGCCGGAAGACTGTATTCCTGGGCTCAAGGTCGGATTGCGAAGGCTTGTTTTCTTTCTTTTTTTGGTCTGGGAGTTCCGGGTTCGGGGTTGAGGGGTTCAGGGGCTCAGGGGCTGAGGGGTTTGTAGTTGCAAAGAGTTGGGGGTTTCAGGGGCTCAGGGTTTTGCTGTTGAGGCCGGGGCGAAGACATTCTTCAAGGTTCATGGCCTCCCCCTCCCCCCTCCCCTGACAAGATCCGGCTTGATGATATGCATGGGCTGCATGTCTACAAACGCTCAGCTTCTCAACATCTTGGCCAGGAGTAGATTTTGCAAAGAGGATACCATGTAGGAGGGACGACGAAGCCCTAAAGTCGAAGAATTAATGACAGTTGTCCTCGAAACCGTGCTATGTAACAACGCCGGCCCTTATAACCAGGTTCTTCAGTAGGGTTCAGGGTTTGGGGCCGACAGGCCCCCAAACCCCTAAACCCCAAACCCCAAACCCTCGACCCTAAACCCTAAACCCTAAACCCTGAACCCTAAACCGCAGCCCTCAACCTCCCCTAGAGTTTTACGGGTTTTCAGATCTGCTCAGGGGCACAGGGGACCATTCTCAAAGGTGGCCACATCCTGGTCAACGGGCGGCCCCTGACGGAGTACAACTTACGCCTCTACCGCAAGCCCCGCACTCGGATCGCTTGGGTCTTTCTCAAGGGGGTTTCGGGATTTAGGGGTTTAGGGTTTAGGGTTTTAGGGTTTCGGGTTTAGGGTTAAACCCTCAACGCCACGGCCCAAACCCCAAACCCCAAAAGCGAAAGTCAAGGCTTATGCCGCTCACCAACACTGGGGTGAGCTATTAACCCTAAACCCTAAACCCTAAACCCCTAAACCCTAAACCCTAAACCCTAAACCCCAAGCCCTAAACCCTATACCCTAGTGTTCCTTCCACCAAGGCGCGTGGGCGTTGTGTCGCAGGACACCCAGGCTTCCGAACACCCCGAAGCCCAAACAACCCTAAACCCTAAACCCTAAACCCTAAACCCTAAACCCTAAACCCTAAACCCTAAACCCTAAACCCTAAACCCTAAATCCTAAACCCTAAACCCTAAATCCTAAACCCTAAATCCTGGTGGTCAGCGGATCTTCAAGCCCGAGATTCCTACGCTCCGAGGGATAGAGGTTGGGGGCTTCGGGCTCGGGGGGCTTGCAGGGATCAGGTAACCCCCAGAGTCACACTTCCTCCTCCTTACTACCAGCTATTCTGGGTTAGTCTTGAAGAGAATCCTGAACCATGGTTTCTTCATTGCAAATGTTTGCTGGGCAAGGTTGACACCCTAAACTCTAAAACGCCACGCCTAGTTGCACCTGTACGAGGCTCGGAAATACATCTCCCCCTTGAGCCCGCTACTGCCGCAGGCAACCTCAGCCCTTCGCTAGGCCCTACACTACAGTGTGTTGCGGCGCTGTAATGAGCACTAGCTGCACCTGGAAACTGTCGGTGAAGCAGGTGTGCTGTAGAGAGATGTTGCACGGCGACCTGTTCCAAATCACGAGCTCAAGCAGGTTAGCAAGCTTAGGGTGAAGTGTGTTTAGGGTTCAGGGTTTTTAGGGTTTAGGGTCTTTCGGGTTTCGGGTTTAGGGTTTAGGGTTTAGGGTTTAGGGTTCAGGGTTTAGTGTTTAGGGTTTGAACTCAGATCTTGGAACCTCTGGAATTCGTGAAGCCTAGACTCGTCCCCTGAACCCCTCGCCCCTTAAGCCCTGCACCCTCAAACCCTAACACCCTTAAAACCCGAAACCTGAAACCCGGAACCCTAAAGCCTAAGCCCTAAACCCGAGCCCTAAACCCTAGACCCTAGACCCTAGACCCTAGACCCTAAACCCTAAACCCTAAACACTAAACCCTAAACCCTAAACCTTAAACCCTAAACCACTACCACTCCGAACCCTGCACCGCAGGTCTTTTGTCGGTCCATCCTGGAGAACTTGACGTATGGACTTGAACCAGGATTGACACTTTAGGGTGGAGTTTCGGACAAGGATTGACGGTTTAGGGTTTAGGGTTTAGGGTTTAGGGTTTCGAACTTGGATTAGCGGTTTAGGGTTTAGGGGTTAGGTGTATTTCCATAGTTACCCCAGATCTTCCCATGAACTTCCAAGTAGAAACGTCCTGGTGCCCTCAGCCAAAACAGGTGCAGCCGATGCTCTGGATTTAGGGTTTAGGGTTTAGGGTTTAGGGTTTTAGGGTATAGGGTTTAGGGTTTAGGGTTTAGGGCTACAGTGGATGCACCCTAAACTTGGGGACTCGCTTTCCCAAGCGAATGAGGCATGTGAACTTTCAATCGAGCAGAACAATCGTAGAACAGAAGTGCGGCAGCAAACCATTCGAAGACCAAAGCCCGATAGACACACGTACACCATTGTGTATATATGTATATGTATATATATATATATATAAAATGCTATGTACATATGTTTTTTGGTTCTATATTCGTATACACAAATACGCACGTGCATGCAGCTTTGTTCATGTACTGGGGTGAAGGGGTTAAGGAATATGAATGTTAGCAGGGTTTAGGGTTTCCGGTTGAAGGGTTTAGGCTTTCCGGTTGAGGGTGCCGGGTTGAGGGTTTCGGCTTTGCCCCCGCCCCCCTCCCCCCCCCCCCTCCACTCAACTCCACCCTGGCTGGTAAACTGACTCTGATCTCCTCACCGTTCTTGCCCATAAGCCCAGAACTCACACATAAGTCCTCCTGAGAACCAGGCGAGGTGCCGCCAACTGACGACATCGTGTCTGCATCGAAGGCAGCGAATGCCCACACTTTCGTGGAGGCGCGATGTCTTCTCTTCGAACCCTAAACCCGATTTTTTGGTACTATAAGAAAGATACCATGATGGAGAGCCTGCAAAGGGACAATAAATTGTAACAACTCACCTTTTTGGTCTCGGCCTTGGTTTGAGGGCCTCTCGCTGTTCCTCTCCCGCTCCCTCCTTTGATTCCACCCTGCCCCATTTTTGCTTGGATGTTGGGGCGGGGGTAGTCTTCGGGTTTTCTGGCTGTCTGCAAGGTTGTTGGTCGCAGCCGAAAACTGTAGACCTTGAGCCCACGAGGTGTGTCTGAGGCACTGGTCACCCTGAAAACTCGATGTATCTTCATGTGTACATGCGTATGTTAGACTTTTTCGTGTCCGCAATTCTCGTTTCGAAGACGTGGGGGGGGGGGAAGGGTGCGGCGCCTTTGGGGCCCGCCTTATGTAGCCATGCCACCTCGCAGATGATGCTGCGCGTCTGGAGACCTTCCGGTCAGGAGCTGGCGGCCATCCCCCTGTCGGAGCTGAGCAGTGTCGACAAGCTGAAGAAACTGCTACATCAGCGGGCAGGAGTGCCAAAGTTTCGGCAAAACCTAGTACACGGCAGCGAGATCTTAGAAGATCATACCAGGTTGGCGTCGTTGGAGCCGCCTCTCGACTTGCAGCTCGTGGTGCTTCCCTTTGTGACGCGGACCTTCAGTGGCACCCCCCTTTTCTCCTCTTTCCATGTTTAGGCTTCCTAACCCCTCATATTGAAGGATGCTCCCATTTCCTTCTTTGGGAGTTTAGGTGACGTCTTCCACAGAAGAGGTGCGCTCCTTCATCGAATGGGCACTATGGGGCTGGGAGCGTCGAGTCCTCGAGATGGCAAGATGCCGCCACGACCCAAACCAGGTCGCAGACGTCGAAAACGAGCGCCAGTCGCCTGTTCAGGCCGCTTCGAAGAGGGGCCACACGAGGGTACTCCGGTTATTGCTGGATGCTGGTGGCGACCGGGACTGTGCTCTACGAGCTGCAAGTGGAGCTGGCCATGTGCAGATTGTCCGCATGCTGCTAGATGCGCCTCGCACGGCCGAGGGCCTGACCAGTCACGGTATTCGCAGAAGCCTCGTTGCTGCATCATCTTGCGGCCAGGAGCATATAGTGTGCTTGCTGCTGGACGCCGGTGCGTTGGACTTCTCTGACAGAGGCTGGCGAAAGACGCTGGCGCTCGCGCTCGTGGCTACGTATGTGTCTTCCGACAGGTTCTCGGTGGCTATATTTGTCGCCCTTCCCCTCGTCGTGATCGTGCAGCCCACCTATGAAGCAATGCTGTGCATGCAGCTGCTATTGCTGTCAATGCCGTGGACAACTTTTCGTTTGGGACCCGGATCGGGTCCATCCCGGCCCGCAATCCTCACAGCCCTGTTGCCCCCAATCATGCTGTCATTCCAGTCATCGCTTCGAGTGCCATTCTTGGTGCTCCTGCTGGTGCTGGTCTTTGTCTGGCCCACCCAGATTCTGAGCGTCTCTTTTGAGAAGCGGTTTCTTGTGTCAACCTCGAGAAGTAGCCTCAGTGCAACACCCGACTCCTACACTCTACTGAGCCTTCAGCAATAAACCCTAAACCCTCAACCCTAAACCCTCGACCCTAAACCCTAAATAGCCAAACTTCCCAAGTCCCAGACGCCCTTCACCCCCGCCCCCGAAACCCCCAACTTTCCCCAAACCCTAAACCCCAAACGCTCAACCCCCCATGTCCTCCCAGGATGATGCGTCTTCTGTTCTCAGCTTCTTTTTCGCGGGCGAGGGTGCGCTACCGCGAAGGGAGGCAGACGGAGGTCCTTCAGCCCTCTCAGGCCTGTTAAGCCCCAGGGTTTAGGGTTTCGGGTTTAGGATTTAGGGTTTGGGGGTTTAGGGGTTTAGGGTTTTCGGGGTTCAAGGGTTGAACGGTTTAAGGGTTTAAGGGTGTAGGGTTTAGGGGTTTAGGGTTTAGGGTTTAGGGGTTTCGGGTTTAGGGGCTTTACAGGCTTTGCGGGTCTTAAGGTTTAAGAGTCCAAGGGCTTGAATGGATGTTTCCCCATCCGCGCTCGAGGCCCTCGCCAGAAAAAGTGCGCGAGAGATCTGACGACTTGAAGCAGGTTTCGGGCTTCTAAGGGTTTAGGGTTTAGGGTTTCGGGCTTCTAAGGGCTTAGGGCTTACAGGGTTTACAGTGGCCCTGGGGGCATCATAGGCTCCGCAACAGACTGTGTTCTTATAAAGGAGGCCAGGCCCTAAACCCTAAACCTTAAACCGTAAGTAAACCCTAAACCCTAAACCCTAAACCCTAAACCCTAAACCCTAAACCCTAAACCCTAAACCCTAAACCCCAAACCCTAAACCCCAAACCCTAAACCCTCAACCCTCAACCCTCAACCCTCAACCCTCAACCCTAAACCCTAAACCCTAAACCCTAAACCTTAAACCCCCTCCCCTAAACCCTGAACCCAAACCCCTAACAACAACAAGTCCTTCGGTCCAACCCCCCCTCCCCTTGCCCCCCAATCAGCGTTGCGTTCAGGAGCTGGAAGACGGCTACCACTCCATGATAGGCGGGAGCCAGGGTTCAAGATACAGAAGCCCCTAAACCCTAAAACCTAAACCCTAAACCCTAAACCCTAAACCCCAAACCCTAAACCCTAAACCCTAAACCCTAAGCCTCTAGGACTTAGGGTGGAGGGTGACATGAGGCCAGGCTTTTGGAGTTTGGTTTGTTAAGCGTGGAGGTCATGCGTTGCTTCCAGGGCTTCATTCTCTCAGTGTGCGGTTTGGTTTATAGGGTTTAGGGTTTAGGGTTTAGGGTTTAGCGTTTAGGGTTTAGGGTCTAGGGTTTAGGGTTTAGGGTTTAGGGTTTAGGGTTTAGGGTTAGGGTTTAGGGTTCAGGGTTGTTTATGGTTTTGAATTAGGGTCCCCATGTTGTTGTTTTGCTAGAGGGGAGGGAACCTTTGTCTGTTGTACCTGTGAGGGCTTCGGGGTTAATGTAGGCCCTAACAACCCCTAAATCCTAAACCCTAAACCCGAACCCTAAACCCTAAGCCCAAAACAAAAAACCCAAAACCCAAAACCCAAAACCCCAAAACCTAAACCCTAAACCCTAAACCCCAAACCCCAAACCCTAAACCCTAAACCCAAAACCTTAAACCCCAAACTCCAATTCCCAACCTGGCAGGGGAGGGCGGAACCCGTCTCAGTGGCGGCCAGCGCCAGCGGGTCGCCATCGCTCGGGCGCTGCTCAGGCACCGAGGGGGAGGGTTTAGGGTTTAGGGTTTGGGGTTTAGGGTTTAGGGTTCAGGGTTCAGGGTTTAGGGTTTAAGGTTCAGGGTTTAGGGTTTAGGGTTAGGGTTTAGGGTTCCGTGGAATTGACAAACCGACACCCGCACTCTCCGGAGGTCCCCTAAATATTCCTGTCTGGTTCTTTCCTAGAGACAGATGAACAGAGGTCACAGAGCTACATGCTATCGGTAACATGCCTGAAGTTAAGACTCATAGCCCACCACGAGGAGCCTTTCAAACTGTAGCTCCTGCAGATGCTCCTGTCACATGTTGAGGGCTTTCTGGAATTTTCTGGAGGTGGCTCTGGTTTCCTTAAGGTGTTCCGCTTCGTAGCGGCTGCTTTCTTGTCAGAAGGTGCCGAAAAGCCGACCGCAGGATGTACGGCTCATGCGGTTCAGGATGGGCTTTGCTGCTTGAAAGGCTTTCTGCCTGGGTTGGGCGCTTCTCGTCCACCTGGTGAGTCCGGGAATTGATTCGGTTTGGCAGGACATGATGTGAAGTCCACATTGTCAGATGTGGAGGGTTGTGTTGAGACATGGCTTTTGGAATTGAGGTTGTTCTTCTTTTTGTAGTTAGGAGTCAGGCCTGAAGCCAAGACTCTTAGCCCAACGTCTGACTCCGTCTGACATGCCTTTAAGCCCTAAACCTTCTAACCCTAAACCCTAAACCCTAAACCCTAAACCCTAAACCCTAAACCCTAAACCCTAAACCCTAAACCCTAAACCCTAAACCCTAAACCCTAAACCCTAAACCCTAAACCCTAAACCCTAAACCCTAAACCCTAAACCCTAAACCCTAAACCCTAAACCCTAAACCCTAAACCCTAAACCCTAAACCCTAAACCCTAAACCCTAAACCCTAAACCCTAAACCCTAAACCCTAAACCCTAACCCTAAACCCTAAACCCTAAAACCCTACACCCTAAACCCTAAACCCTAAACCCTAACCTAAACCCTAACCCTAAACCCTAAACCCTAAACCCTAAACCCTAAACCCTAAACCCTAAACCCTAAACCCTAAACCCTAAACCCTAAACCCCCCGCCCCCAAGTCCCAGCCACGAAGTTCAAAAGAGTGCCCCGTGTTGGCTTTTGCGAGGAAGCCGTCCCTGCTGCTGCTGGACGAGGCAGGCACCAGGGGGTTCTGGTTAATAGTTGAGGGTTTAGGGTTTAGGGTTTAGGGTTTAGGGTTTAGGGTTTAGGGTTAATAGTTGAAGGGGTTTCGGGGTTAGGGCTGCAGAAGGTTTAGGGTTAACCCTAAGCCCTAAGCCCTAACACCTAAACCCGAAACCCTAAACCGTAAATCCTAAAGCCGAAGCCCTAAACCCCAAGCCCTAACGCAGGGTTGAGGGGTTGAGCGGTTTTCGGTGCTTAGGTGTTGTTAATTCGGTTCCAAGTCGCTGCTTGGTTAGAGGGCGAAGGGCCTTGTGCAGTCGGGGTGCGAGCTTCGGATGGCCCCCTTTTTCCTTCCCAGTGGGTTTAGGGTTTAGGGTTTCGGGTTTAGGGTTCCACTCTGTGGGAACTTGGGTCTTTTTGAAGATGGCAAGATTTCGGGTATAAAGTTGGCAAACCCTAAGCCCTAAATCCTAAACCCTACACCTTAACCCTACATCTTGGGCTTGGGTTGTTTCGTTGTAACTCCTGTAGGCTCCTACTCTCAGCCTTACCTCGCTGTTATACCTTCTACCTCAGGAGTAAGCAAACGCTTTCCCTTCCTAAGGAACTTGCTTATTGCAAAGCAATCTTCCTTTTCTAATTAATGGAGGAAAAGGACGCCTTCCTCCTTGGATGCAGACAATGCGCAGGGTTGGACGTTCAGAAAGGCAGGAACTGTTCGAACCGAGCTTTTTCTGATTGATTCTTTCAAATCAAGGGCACTCAGGATGCAACTGGCTCCCGAAACCCTAGACCCTAAACCCATAAACGTCCTAAATCCTATGGCCCTGAACCCTAAACCGTAAGCCCCCACCCCCGGATCCCGCACCTTTCACACACCCTGCCCCGCTTGCTCGGAGGCAACTTCCGCGCTGGCCCCTCGTCGCGTAGCCTTCCGCGGCCAGAAGGGTCTTAAGATGACCGCTCCGATCCCTAAACCTGACTTGAGGCTGCTGAAAAGCCTAGAAGTAGCAGTTGGTTCAGCTCAGGGGGACACTAAACAAGTTGTTCTTCTGGTTCGAAGGGGCAAGGGGTATGGCATTAAGCAAGGAGCCCCATTGCAGCCCCACTGCAGCTACTCTACAGTGCCTAAAACCTAAACCGTTGCTTAGCTTCTAGACGCCCAAACCCCAAACCCCAAACCCCAAACCCCAAACCCCAAACCCCAAACCCCAAACCCTAGACCCTAAACCCCAAACCCGAAACCCTAAACTTCAAACCCTAAACCCCAAACCTTAAACCCCAAATCCCAAACCCTAAGACCTAAGCCCCAAACCCCAAACCCTAAGCCCCAGTTGCTTGGCCCCTAGACACTCAACCTTCGTCCTTCCTAGCCGAACTCTTAGGATGCGGAGAACGAAGGCAAAGTGCAGCAGGCCGATTGAGTCGGGGCTTACCTGAAGGTTTAGGGGTTCAGGGTTTAGGGCTTAGGGTTTAGGGTTTAGGGTTCATTGAAATCATGAAGGGGTCAGGTCCGGGAAAGTTTCGAGGAGTTTCGAGGAAAGTTTCGAGGAGTTCCGAGGAAAGTTAAGTCTTTTGAATCGTTTCAAGTTACAGGGGCTTGAGGGTTTAGTTTAGGGCTAGGGTTCAGGGGTTTAGGGTTGTTCCACAGCGTCGGATCAGGGGGACGAAGAGGGGGGTAGGGTTCGAGGGGGCCGGGTTATCGAGTTGTACGGGTTTAGGTATTCAGTGGATCCTGTCTAGAAGGGGTTCAATCATACCCCCCCCTCAACCCTGCTAGAGCGCAAAGGGAACTACAGGGCTCAGGGTAGAGTTTAGGGTTTTTTGGGTTTTTCGGGGATGTAGGGGGTTTAGGGGGTTTACGGGGTTTAGGGGGGGTGTTTAGGCGGTTTAGGGGGTTCGGGGTTTTGGGGGATTTGGGGGTTTCGGGACTTCAGTGTTTAGGGGGCCAACCCTAAACCCTAAACCCTAAACCCTAAACCCTAAACCCTAAACCCTAAACCCTAAACCCTAAACCCTAAACCCTAAACCCTAAACCCTGAACCCTGAACCCTGAACCCTGAACCCTAAACCCGAAGCCCTAAACCCTATGGTGCCACAGGTTTGCAGAGTCCTGCCTCCGTCGATGTTTCGGCTCCAGGGCAGTCCCCTGCATCTTCAAGCCCGAAGCCCCTAAACCCTAAACCCTAAACCCTAAACCCTAAACCCTAAACCCTAAACCCTAAACCCTAAACTCTAAACTCTAAACCCTCAACCCCAAACCCTAGCCTTAAGCCCTAAACTCTAAACCTGAAGCCTTAAACCCTAAACCCTAGACCCTGAATCCCGAATCTGGCGACAGCTCGAGGAGCGCAAGGTTTACATAACCCGTCTGCAGGCCGAGATAAGCAAGCGTTAGGTTTCAGGGTTTAGGGTTCGGGTTTCGGGTTTCGGGTTTAGGGTTTAGGGTTTAGGGTTTAGGGTTTAGGGTTTAGGGTGACCGACCTCAGCAGCGTTCACCTGAAGTCAGGCCCTAGCCCCTTTTATGCCCAGGGTTGCGCAGCCCTGAGCCCTAAGCCCTCAACCGGCTTAGGGCGCCTTCATGTTGCGAGTGTGGAAGCCTTCTGGGGAGGAAGTGCTGGCCCTGCCACAGGCCCAACCTCGTGGCCCCCGAATAGAGGGGGGCCCATGAGTTGAGGGCTTCGGGTTCTTAGGGTTTTAGGGTTTTAGGGCTTTGGGGTCTTGAGGTGTTGAGGGTTTTGGGGTCTTAGGGCTTCGGGGTTTTGAGGTTTTGTTTTGTAGGGTGGTTTAGGGCTTCGAACGGCCATGCCCCTCCAGGAGGAGGTCGATGACGTGCGGTCCCTGAAGCGGCGTTTGAGGGGACCTTCGGGCACGCCTCGCTTCCGACAGCGGCTCCTCAGTGATGGCCAGGACGGTTGGGGGGGTTTTCAGCATGTTCTTTGGGGGGGGGCTTTGGGCTTGAGAGCCCTGAGTTCTCTGAACCCTGAACCCTTAGCCTTAAGGTTTAGGGTTTAGGGTTTAGATGAGGGTTTAGGGTTTAGGGTTTAGGGTTTAGGGTTCAGGGCTCAAGCCCTCCGAACCTCGAAGCCCAGAGGCCCTGACTCAGGCTCTGGAGGACGCTGCGAGCCTTCAGGGCCTTACCGACCTCCAGTTGATCTTGTCCCTAGATGGAATGCCCCCCCCCACCCCCCGTCCCCTCCCTTTAAACGCACATTTTGGGGAGCTCCTTCTTTGGGGGCGAGGGGGAAGGGGGAGTTGATTTAGGGGAGGGGATGAGTTTCAACCCTTTGAGCCTTACAGCACGCCCCCTTGGAAGTAGCTCTCAGGCTTCCTTTCCTGCCTGCCGAGCAGAAGGATGCGGACCGGCTCACATCAGCCGTGAAAGACGGCTTGCTCGAAGTGGTCGAAGACTTGTTGCAACTTGCAACTTGCTTAGCGGACAGTTGATCTTTAAGCTTGTCCCCAAACCCTAAACCCTACACCCTAAACCCTAAACCCAAAACCCTGAGCCCTTATTTTGTAGGAATAATGCACTCTAACTTTTTTTCCTTGGCTGGAGAAGTAAGGCAACGACCCCAGGATCCTAACTTGCCAAACGGAATCGGCGCCACGCCCCTCTGCACGGCCTGCGAGCATGGGCACCTGGAGATTGCGCGCCTGCTGCTGGCGGCTGTTTGGAAAGCCCTTTGCAACGCGAACCGCCTCATGTCAACCCAGAACCGGACCTGAAACTTGGGATGTTCCCCCTTATACTAGCAGTCCTTTATAGGGATTCTAGTAACCCCCTACTACTATCCCGATTAATTAAGAACTGTTAGTATAAGGGGGAACCTCCCAACCTCAAACTTTCAACCTGGTCGCACTTCTTGTTGCTCCGTGCCCCTTCGCCCCTTGGCGCGCCGGAGGCTATTGGAGGCCGATGCCAACATCGAGAAGATCAGTGGACCCAGGTGGGGGTTTATGAAAATAGGGGACCCCTGATATAGATCCCCCAAATAGTAGGATTTAGGATTTCCTTATCACAAGGACCCCCACCCCAACAAGGTGCCCCGAATTTCGGAAACCCCCCAGGTCGCGAACACCTCTCCGCATGGCGTGCGAGATGGGACATCTTGAGCTCGCACGCCTCATGGTGGAGGCGGGCGCCGACAAGGACAAGGCAAGCTTTGGGAGACACCCAATTTCCGAACCTAGGACCCGGAGCCCTAAACCCGAAATCCGGAACCCTAATTCTACACTGCACGTCATCGACTGGTATGAGAATGTATGTACGTGTATATATGCTATATGTTCTGTGTATATATATATATATATGCACATGCTGTCATATGATCTCATACGATATGCTATCCGATATTATTGTATTTTCTTCTTAAGCCCCAACCCCTAAACCCCAAACCCCAAACCCCTAAACCCCCAAACCCCAAAACCTGAAACCCTGAACCCTAGGCCCCTAAACCCTAAACCCCAAACCCCTAAACCCTAAACCCTAAACCCCTAAACCCTGTTGTATTTCCAGGTCAGTGGGCGCGACGTGCGATCTCCCCTCGGCATGGCCACCGAGCGCGGCCACATCGAGGTCGTGCGCTTCCTCCTCCAAGCGGGAGCTGACAAGGATGTGACTTGGTTTAGGGTTTAGGGTTTGGGGTTTGGGGTCTGGGGTTTGGGGTTTAGGGTTTAGGGTTTAGGGTTGGTCTAGGGTTTAGGGAGTTTAGGGAGTTCAGGTCTCAGTTTTTGGGGTTGAGGGAGCTTTGGTCTCATGTTGAGGGTTTTGGGATTGGGGGCTCAAGGTTAGGGTTTCATCAGGGCGCGAAGAAGCATCAAGCGTTCAGGGCCCTGCCTCTCTAGCTCAAGGTGCCATGACATCTTTGTAATGTAAGAGCTGTCGGAACAGATCGCCTCTGAATTCCCGGCAGTCACCCTAATTTCTGGCGAAGCGGAGACGTGAAGGCTTTCCCATTGCGGAAGAGGGCAGCATGAAATTGGAGAAGCAAGGGTGGTCCTGAAAGTGGAGAATCAAAGAGCCCCTTTGCTAAGAAGCTAAGAAGCTCTTGATGATCCCCATGGCCCTAAGCCCCCCCAGCAACCCAAGGCCAAATACGATTCATACCGGCCGGCTGCGGTAGCATCCCGCTGCCGCCACTACGAGGTAGTGCGGCTCTTTCATGGCGGCCTCTAGGCGTCCTGGGGGCCTCCTACGACTCTGAGCCGTTGCCGTGGGCGTCTCCGTGTTGGGCACAGAGCATCCCTCTGAGCATCTCGGAAGGTGGTAGTCGATGAGCGGGCGTGTAGGGCTCGCAGAGCGTGTGGCCGTGCGGCCGGTGAACAGCCCGCGGTCTTCATCTTCAGCGTCTCTCAGAGACCCGCCGCGCCTTGCAAAAGCCGAAGGTGCCTCTAACTCTAAGCTTACAGTCAAAGGGGAGCTCTCTTGTACCCAGGTTGCTCCTCAACCAGAAGTCCCAACCGATCCCACCAAACCCAAACCTTCAATCTAATAAGCCCCATATGGACCCCACAAAGCCCTAACACCAAGATTGATTTCGGGTCCCCAGTCACGCAAGTCTACCCGGAAGGCACTCGATGCCCTCGTCCACCAGGTGGAAGGAAACTGTTCGGTGAAACTTGGCTCTTGGTGGAGGGATTGGACAAAACCCTAAACCTCTAACCCCAGGTATAGTGGAGGTCGATGGTGTCAAGGTTTCCATTGCAAGGGGGGGTGTAGGGGGGCGTGTGGGGGGCGTGTGGGGGGGGGGGGTGTGGGGGGGCGGTGTGGGGGGGGTAGAGGGTTTTAGGTTTTCGTTTCGAGGGATCCTTCTGGGAGGCGTCTTCTATAATGTGATGCCTTGCATCAAGATACTCCGAAGGACATCCCAGTTGTAGAAAAGCAGCGCCCAGATGTTGTGAACCGCAGTCCCGAAAAGTTTCAAGCTCCCCCAAGATTCTCCACAAGGCCTGACAAGAACCCTCCAAGCCTTTCGTTCTTCAACAAAACCGAACCCCAAAGCCCAAAACCGTAAACCGTAACCCTAAACCCCAAAGTTCGAGGATGCTCATCGCCCATCGCCTGTCGACAGTGATGGGCGCCTCACTTGAAGAAGAACTGCTAAAGACTTAGGGTTTAGGGTTTAGGGTAAAGACCCCTGAACCCCAAGTTGCTAAAGACTTAGGGTTTAGGGTTTAGGGTAAAGACCCCTGAACCCCAAGTCCCTATCACCCGAAACTCTACAGAAAGCTCTCGACCAGCCCGTGACTTCCTTCCCCCAATGATTCAGCATGCAGCCCCGCTCACACTCCCAGACCCTCTGCATCAATATACTCTGATGAGACTTTTTTGCTTTCAAACCCTCGATTCGTTGAAAAAGAAAGAACTAAATGAATCGTATATAAAAACAAAGAAATGTAAATAAGTAGTAAGTATATATATATATATATGCATTTTTTCAGGGGTTTAGGGTTTAGGGTTCAGGGTTTAAGTTTTAGGGCTTAGGGTTAGGGAGCTTATGTGGGGTTCCGATTAGCGTCTGCCAGTAGCCCGGTCTCGGTTTGTTCCGGGGTTGCGGCTGTGGTTTCGGTGCTGCTTGTCGGGGTTCTGGGGGTTGGTGCGGGGTTTGGGGTGTCTTAATATTACGGCAGCCGGCTTTCCTGAGGCCCTCAGGGTTTTTCTCCCCACACGTGGTTTTTCTCCCTGGGCTGGTTTGGGCTGAGCACAAGTGGGTCATGGTTCTCAAGCTGTTCGGAGGGATCCTCCGAGAATGAGTTCCTAGCCCTGGGGTTTAGGGTTTAGGGTTTAGGGTTTAGGGTTTAGGGTTTAGGGTTTAGGGTTTTCGCCCCACCCGGTTGGTGGGCAATAGGCTGTCGGGGTCTCTTTGGGCCGAAGCCCGAAACCCTAAACCTTGAACCCCTCAGACTTGGCTCCAAAGGTTCAGACAAGATTGTCGTCATGGACAAGGGGGTCGTGGTCGAGCAGGGCACTCATGAGGCCCCATTGAGGTTTAGAATCCCTAAACTTTAAACCCCGAACCCCCCCAAATCCCAAATCCCAAACCCCAAACCCTAAACCCTAAACCCCAAACCCTAAACCCCAAACCCTAAACCGATAGAAGGATGCTGGACATGCTGTTGACAGAGGGTGCTGGACGTACCTTGACTAAGAGCCGGTAGGTAGAGGTGAAGGGAGGGAGGCATGAGAACGCGCTGAACTTCAGCCCTCGAACCCCGCCCCGAAGCCCCAAGCAGCATCCCTCAACCCTAAACCCTAGCCCTAAACCGTAAACCCTAAACCCTAAACCCGAAACCCTAAACCCGAAACCCTAAACCCTAAATCCTAAACCCTAAACCCTAAGCCCTAATCCCTCAACCCTACGACTTAAACCCCGACGCCTTACACTAAGCCCCCTAGCCGCGAAGCTCCACGTCTTGCCACAGGAGCTGCTGAAGAACCAAAACATCTATGCAGGGCTGGTGCAGAGGCAGCAGACACGCGAATTACGGTTCTTCTCAAGGGTCCCCTGAACATTTTGTAACCGCTCTTACATTTCAAGCCCCGCATACAAAGCCCGAGCACCTATCGCGCTCGGTGTTCTATTCTTAGCTCTAAACCCTAAACCCAAAACTCTAAACCCTAAACCCGAAACCCTAAACCCTAAACCCTACGTAATCCCGAAACCCGAAACCCTATTCCCTAAACCAGTGGATTTTGAGAGCTTGGGTTGAATTTGAGGATCCCGACTATGCAGCTCTCGAGGGCCCAGAGCCCGCAATTTCCTGGCGTTTGGGTTCAGGCATTGTTTGCGCCTTTCTGGCCCATGAAGCCTCCCTGTTTTGGTAGCTCCATACGACTTCCCCCCAAACCCCAAACCCCAAACCCCAAACCCCAAACCCCAAACCCCAAACCCTAAACCCTAAACCCTAAACCCTAAACCCTAACCCTAAACCCTAAACCCTAAACCCTAAACCCCAAAACCCTAAACCCCAAACCCTGAACCCTAAACCCGAAACCCTAAACCCTAAACCCTAAACCCTAAACCGTAAACCCTAAACCGGATGAGGCAGCTGGCCAAGCAGGCCAACACAGTCTCCGAAGCACCGGAGGTGGGCAACTCGGGTATTTCTGGTGCAGACTGATGGGTCGGTCGGGATGTTTTTATCTCAGGAGTTATACCCTTTTAGGGATTCAGGGTGCCTACATATACCCTTTTAGGGATTCTATAGGGTGCCTACCATATACCCTTTTAGGGATTCTATAGGGTACCTACAATATACCCCTTTAGGGATTCGATAGGGTACCTGTGGGGATTCAGCACTGAAGGCTTCCGATTTGCCATGTCGTATCTTCGGGTTCCAGAATGGTCTGAAAGGGGGGGCAAAATCCGGGGCTGGGTTGGCTGTAGTTTTGCTTTGCTTTAGGGTCTAGGGCTTAGGGCTTAGGGCTTAGGGCTTAGGGCTTAGGGCTTAGGGCTTAGGGCTTAGGGCTTAGGGCTTAGGGCTTAGGGCTTAGGGCTTAGGGCTTAGGGCTTAGGGTTTAGGGCTTAGGGCTTAGGGCCTAGGGCTTAGGGTTTACGGGTTTAAGCTTAAGGCCCAATCTCCGCCCAATATCTTTCTTCAGGGCTAGAGCTTGCCCCTTCATCTCCTTTTACGGGTTGCTTCCCCCCCCCCCCCCCCCCCGTAGCGAGAGGGGTAGAGCCTCGAGGCCAGGAGACAAGCCTAAACCTTGTTTTGCTTTTAGGGATAGGGTTTTGCCCCAATATCTCCTTTTAGGTTTCGCTGCCTCCCTGCAGCCGTAAGGGAACCGAGGAAGAAGTTTAGGGTTTAGGGCTTAGGGTTTAGGGTTTAGGAGGAAATCTGAATTCCAGCACCCTCAACGACAACATCTGTGAAGCCTTGACCCTCGTCGCCCGGACGTGTTTAGGGTGTAGCTTTGAGGGTTTAGGGTTTAGGTCAGGGCTCAGAGTTTAGAGTTTAGGGTTTAGGGTTTAGGGTTTAGGGTTTAGGGTCCAGGGCTGAGGGTCCCCAAGCCGCTTGCGAAGGAAGCAGAGGCCGCCCCAGCAGAGCCTTCGGGCAAGGGCTGGAAGGGAAAGGACTCGTCATCGTTACTTAACATTCAACCCTACGCCCTAAACCCTAAGCCCTAAACCCCCTAAGCCCTAAACCCCAAGCCCTAAACCCTAAGCCCAAAGCCCTAAACCCTCAACCCCAAACCTAAACCCTAAGCCCTAAACCCTAAGCCCATGCTTCTGAACAAAGAAAAAACAGTCTCTCTGGAGTACAACGCCGACGCCCCCCAGGTCCTATACTTTGCCGATGGCTCCCCGGTTCCCATAACCACTGACACTAAATATTTAGGCTCTCAGGTTACATGGGACAAGGCCACTAAGCATGCCATAGAAGCTCGTAAAGCCAAGGCGCACATTTCCTACATCAAACTCCAACATTTCTGGAGGTCACGCATCAATTCTAGAACTAAAACTAGAATCTTCAATGCCATAGTCTTGCCTACATTACTGTACGGATTGGATACGCTTACTCTGGAAATTAAGCACCTAAAGACCATAGATGCATGGTACCACAAATATCTTCGGAGGGCACTAGGAGTCAAGGACTCATATTATTCTCACATCTCGAATCGAAGGGTATGGACGCTAGCGGGCCGCCCCACGCTACCATCCCAAATTTTGACCTCTGCCCAGTTAAAGCAATTGGCAAACAGCTTGGCTACACCGCCCAACAATCCGGTGCACCATGTAGTATACTCTCCGGGTTGTAAAGATAGGATCAAATTCACGAAGTCTTCACACAGAGGACATCCCCAAAGATATTGGCTGGAACTCAATACCGAGTATGCATTACCGGTGCTTAAAGAATACATAAGGCTAAACCGCATAAACACGGAGGAGCAAAGGCAAGACTTCTTAGGCCTCAAACACCTCCTTAATAGGGACCCCCTCTTCCTGTCTTTCCTGGAATCTGCGCCGACGCGCTGCCCCCACTTGTTCAAAAGACACGCCAAAGCTCTTGCATGCGCATGGCTGCCATAAAAAAAAACCCTAAGCCCTAAACCCCGTAAAGCCCGAAACCCTACGCGCTAAGCCGGCGACCTGAAGCCTGCACCCTGAACCCCAACCCCTGAACCCTAGGCCCGGGACACCAAGAACCCTCCCCCCCTCAACCGTGTCCTCTTGT